CTGCATACCCCCCCGGAACGGCATCCCCTGGTTCTGCGGGAACTGGTTCGCAAACTGGGGGGTCATGAACTGTTGGCCGTTGGGGCTGGTGAACGTTGCCTGCTGGGGGGGGAACGGCGCCATTCCGAGGTAGGCCTGGGGACCCCCCGGTGAAAATTGGGGGCTGACGGGGTTGACGAATTGGCCCGCCGGGGGGGTGAAATGCTGGACCCCCGGAGCGAACTGGATGGGGCTCCCGGGAGAGGCGAAGGGCTGGCCGCCCCCGGGGCCGCCAACCATTGCGGGCATCCACGAAACCTGGAAAAGAAAGTCGGTTCGATAAGTTCCGTGTACGGGAAAGAACCATATGCAAGCAGAAATCAGAAACACTATCAAACCCTACGCAAGCAAAGGTAATCACTATGGTGGTTTTAGGTTTTGGAGTGTCAAAGAGGACATATGGCCGCCGCCATTGGATGCCATGATAAGACCGGATGAGAATCTGAAGCTGTTCTTCTGACTTTTCGAATCGCCGGTGGTCCGGGAACCTAGTGCTATGTCAATTGGCAGTGTCAAAAACCAGAATTGTTGTAAAAGAGGGCCAGAGCAACGGCTCAGTGGCATGTCAAACAAACCTCTCAGGCCTACCACAATAAATCTTCGGAAGAAGGAAATTAATGTGATGCACCGAACTGGGGGCCAGGATTGCTCACCGGCATCTGCCCTCCCTGGGGGGACATTTCACCCATGCCCATGCCCCCCCCCTGCATCCCCGACTGGGCTCCAAGGGGAGGGAACTCGGCAGTGTACATGGCTTGGGGGGGGACGAACATCGGCATGTAAGGCATCATCGGGGCACCGAAGTTGGGGTCGTACCGGCCATTGAACCTGCTACAGACAGAGAGGGGAGAAGAGTAGAGTCAGAGATCGATAAGAGTGTATGTGGGCTGGGTTAGCATTTTGTTTTAGCGTCAAAAAGCAATCGCCCCATGCAGCCAACTTCCCATCAAAATTATTCCATAGCAAGATTTCCGATCTGCAGAACAATGTGATTGCAAGTCCGCCAGCATGTGTTGATCAATTCATGTACGTAATCAAGACCCGCTCTTGGAGCACAGGCATGTTATATTGGAAACTCATTGCACAATAATTACTGCCCAGCAGACATATTAGGCCCCAAATCCATGAGCAGAATCAATAGTGGGTAGAAAGTACGCCATGTCTTAAATACCAGCACACTGCTTCAAGTTCTGCTTCGAGTAAAAGCACACCAAATGATAAGCAGACGCAGCAACTGGAGTGAAGACATGACGCCAGCCAAACGCCCACATCCTACCCTGCACCTCGTAACGCAAGCGCCAAGCAAAAACAGTAACCCAGGGCAAAGCATAACCCGCACACTGACCTGCTCCTGTCAAAGTCGGGGTCGCGCTTCTCCTTCTCCCTGTCTCTGAAAATGGCAGGCCCCTTTCCCCTCTTCCCATTTCCCCCCTCCCCATTGCCCCTGCTGCCGCCCCCCCGCCCAGAATTCTCTCCATACCCCCCCTCCACTGGACCCTGCACAGGAGGCATGCTTCGCCCCCCCATGTCAGGACCAAACCCGACGAGTCCGCTGTGGGGGGATCCCATTGGCCCGCGCATGACCCCCCCGTTCTGCACGGCGGCCTCCTTCTCCTGGTTGAAGATGCGGGCGCGTGCTTTTTGGTACTCTTCGCTGCGCTCCTCGACCGACTTGAGAGGCCCTGTCTGGCGCTGGCGCGACTCGCCGTTGGAGTGGTGCCCGGTGTTGCGCGGCTTGATAGCGAGCTTGACGGGGCCTTGCGCACGGGGGCTACGCTGAGCCATCTGCACAGCAAACAACTGATTTTCATAGACTGATCGGGTAAGGTCGAATCACCGTTCGAGGAGACCAGGCGCCGGCTCCTGTTTAAACAGATTAAGGCGGAGTCCTTTGATGATTGATTGTCTTGCAATGCTAGTCAAAATCTCGACTGTTTAAACACCACCTTGATTGGTGGTAGTCAACTTTTGATTACCACCACAGTAAATTCAAATGCACTTGTAGACTGGACATATCAGAAGTGGCAGGGACATGGTGTCTGTTCCTGCTGACCCAAGAATGATTGCATTACCAAGCTCGCTAACCACTTGACACCATTACCTTGTCAAGACTGCAGAGAACAGAAGTAACTGCCTAAGATGTGGCTCAGTCAAAACATGGGTTCACGCTGAAAAGCGAGAAAGACGGAGCACAACGGGCGCCACAGTGAAGGCATACATGTTTTTGGGGCAAGCTTAGCTGGCCAATCGCAAAGCTCTAGTAGGAATCATTGCAGCCCGTTGACAATTTTACAACAGACTCCTGTTAAAAGGTTACAAACAAAGGCAGACAACCTGTGGATAGCCATCAACACCAAAGTTTTCCTGAAACCCCGTTTTTTCTTGGTGGGCTGTCACAAGACCCCAGCAGCATCCCGGCAACTTTTTCTAAGACAGCCCACATCAAACCCCCATTGGCTTCAAGAAAAGAGCAGAAGACCATCCTGCGCAGGCCACATCCTATCAGAAGCGGCTGCAAAGAGGGAGATCAAGGCCTCAACAAGAAAGTTGAGCGCCTTGCTTGGATGCCGTTCACAGCTCAGACATCGGACATTGCTGCACTTATCCCTGACACGCCCAGAGTCTCTCAGAATAGAACAAGGCTGACACAGCAGACCAACTCGTTCAAGATGGGTACAAAGATTGAAGGGCGCTTACCGGTATGTCACACAACCGGAACGATGGGAAGCGACACTCGGGCGTCTTGACCGCGACCACTTTGTGCAAGGGCTGCCCGTCGAGGCCGGTGTCAATCTGGCTCGACGTGGCGAGGAGGTAATGCTGGGCGACTTTGTGAGCGGCCATGCGCATGTAGCTTGACGGCAGCGGGCCCAGTTCGAGCTGCTGCGCATTGGGCGTCCGCATGAAACGCTCAACTTCGACGTCCATCCGCAGAACTGCAGGGAAGAACAAGGGTTTTGGCTTTACTTTCATCTTGTGGGAATCCGTTTATCATGTGTGAAGCCAAAGGAGAATGTGACTTCTCATACCCGCAATCATAGACCAAGTGTCCAATTGTTACGAGTCTGCAAAAAGATGAGATTTGCATGGAGGGAGAAGGTGGGGGCACGTTTGGCGGTCCAACTTTTCTAAATGCAGACAGAGGGACAGTACGTGACAAGGGTTCATGGAGAAGAACAACAAACAGGACGCAAAAACCAACGGAAGCAGACAACGATGGACCACGTCCAAGTGAACTGTAATGGGTCTTTCAGATTTCACCAGAAGACACGAGAACCATTTCGCAATTTGGCGATCGAAATCAAAGCGCTGTGAAATGCTTCATGTAGGAACAATGATTGATGCCCTGACAAACTGATGCAGAAGGTCAATCAGGGCAAGCCGCCGCGGTAGCATTGCACCAAGTATCCCTATCTTCATTGATTTACAATGGAAGGTGGATGCCGAGTGTTTTTTATGGAGTGATCAACCATGAAACCTGTTGTGCATTCTAATTGTAAGCAGGTTCGGTAACAACCTAAGCAGAACCCCTAATCATCTATCGCCGGGTGGTTTGTTGGGTTGCAATCAGCTGAAGGATCCATGCGGGTAAAGCATAAAATCAAAGTACCTGCTTTGCAGCTCTGGTAAATGGCACAGGAAGAGGATTTGAGGAGTTATGTTCCGAAAATGAGCAGCTTCAAGAACGAGATGTACTCGGCAATGCTTGCCTCAAAGACTACAATCTGCTCAAAGCTGGTGGGTTGCAGATTGATGCATCCAATTGCGGACAACAAATTCCAACCAATGCAGTAAAAATGCAACAATTGAGACAGAAACCCAATTCGACTGAAACTTAGCTCTCGCGAATACCAATTGAGGCTCGCTACATCATCACACGCATCAGCAAAAACAATAGAAGTAAAGAAGCACGTCTTACTGGCAAGGCGATCCCCAGGGTCCCTAGGGTTTGTCAGCCCCATCTTCAGCACTTGGTCCACTTGCTCTCCCGGCACCGCGCCCTGCCTCCCATCGACCACAATTCTCTGGGGGGACAACCGCCCTCCGCCGCTGCCAGAGGCACCACCCCCCCCCTGCAACTTCGCCTCCTTCCTCTCATTCTCCGTAGCAATCTGGTCGGCAGTGCTCAAGGTCTTCAACCGCTCCTCCAACGCCTCCACGTCCTCCCAGGAATCGGGCTCCGGCAGCGAGCTGTCGACCTCTTTGGTGACATCAGCGCTGACTTCGGTGGTCACCTGCTTGACCTCGTCATCGCCCTCCACGACGCCCTTGTCCTGCACGTCGGTGATGGTCTTCTCTTCGGGAGCCCCGTTCTCGCACGTGACATGATCCTCCTCGATGACGCCCTTTACCTCCTCTTGCACCTCCTCGCTCGCCATGTTGAGGGAAACTCCTCGGCCTCTTATCAGCAATAAAACGCCATGACTTCTAATAAGCAACTATTCGGAGAAATGGCTGCTGTGATCAGATAGGAGCAGAATGGCGCGCTGGAAGTTGCAAATGCAGAGAGGCGCAATTGACCTTGGAACAATAGAAGGTTGTTTGCTTGCTTCAACTTCTCTTCGGACTCTTATATCTTCGGACTGTTGGCGTTGCCGACCCATTTATACCGGGCTCGTGTGTGTGTGTTCTGCTGTCAAGCCCTGCATTCGTTCGCCAGAGATACTGATACGAGTCTGCATTGCGCATTTCTCGCATTTGCTCCACAGTTTGAAGCTGGAACCTGTTTCGCTCTTCGATGCGAAGCATCTTCTGTGATTGTATCAACTCCATACGATGGCAGCCGTCGAAAGAAGTGCTGAAGCAAAGTCCGGTAGGCGCTCATGACAACTAGGGCGACGGCATCCCTGGCTTCAACAGAATCGGACGGCTTCAATGTCTTCTAATCTCTGATCGACGGCTACGATTGACTTCACCTGCAGCTGAGCGAGGTGACGGCAGCTCGTCTTTTCAAGTCGCTTCTGCAGTTCACTCCAGCTATGCCATTGCTACTGCACATGTCTTCCTGTGGTGGGCTCAAGGGCGTCTTCTCTGCTAGCACTAGAACGCGGGTTTAGCTTTGTCCTTCGATTGAGTTTTAGCATACCCGATTGGTGAAATAGGTCTAAGTATTGGCGTTCCAAGTTGAGGCGCTGGCCTTGCTTGCTTTGATTCATTCACGACGCGACCCTGATAGGCAGACCAAAGAGCGCGATCTTGATTGCATTGTGGTTGGTCAGGGCCTTGTCTGCTGCTCAAAATGGTACTCGTTGGGGCTATCCGCGACTATGTCGCGAAAATGCTCAGTGAGCTGACTGGAATGAAAGTACTTATTGTGGACAAAGAGACGGTGAGTCGATATCCTGTGCTTTGCTCGATTCATCCTCATTTAGATACTCTAAGTTAGGCTCACAAACCACAAGCAGATGGATCCATTGTGTCTTCTCACCGACTAGGTCTTCAATTAGGGTTTTGAGGCTCCACACCAAGCTTTCAGCAGGATTGCCAGCACCCTTAGATCTTGAGCAGGTTGCTGAAAAAGATCTGCAGATGAGAATCACAGCTCCAGCCCTGGCCCCATGAGTTTTGGAGTGACGCCAAATGAGCTGCACACTGCGTGGAAACTTTGATCAATGGTGCTCTGCCTGCTCATAAGCATCAGTATGTATGCTCTCCTGGTGGTGGTTGCATCAAGTAGCCTCACACCCTAACTTTCATGCTGAAAAGTTTGGTGTCGCGAATGGGGTCTCCCTGTTTATCGCGACAATCTCCTATCGGGCTGCATCATCACATCCCTGCTGGTTGCAAGCCGATAGAAGGTTCCTGCAAATATTAAGGGGCGCAATGCATCCAGCTGGTTTTTTTGAGCTGGTGCGCATGGATTCTGTGTAACATCAGTCAAAGTTCTGATCAAGGAGAGTTTTATGCCTTTTCAGCAAGATCTCTGTGCTTTGTGCAATACTCAACGTTGAAGCCATTCTCCGTCGCCAACAAAGCTGTATTGTTGACCAGAGTCTTTCTTGTTTGCAGCTTGGTTTCATCAGCGTTGTGTTCAGCCAGTCTGACATCCTGCACAAGGACGTATACTTGGTGGAGCCTGTAGATGCCCCTCCAACAGAAGAGTCGCTGGGGCACTTGAAGGCGGTCTGTTTCCTACGACCAACTGGCGAGAACATCACACAATTAAAGCGCCACCTTAAGAATCCTCGATATGGGGAATACCACCTGTGTGAGTTTCGGCAACCCGGGACCTTCGGTTTGAAGCAAGGTCTGTCTTTGCAAGGAAAGTGCCCCTTTGCAGCTATGTGCACACAATATTCAGCTCATAGTCTCATAAATAACGCGGGAGAAGCTTCATACTTGTGTTCCTGATACACTGAAAACATTGAGAACATTCCAGAGGAGGGAGCCTTTGCAATCGCGTTGTTTGCAAGCTCACAATTGAAAGACACTAATGTATTGACTCTTAATTGTTCCTGGTGGTGTGCAGTCTTTTCCAACATTCTGAAGAGCACGTACATCCAGATCCTGGCCGATGCAGACGAGCACGAAGTCGTCCGTGGTGTTCAGGTGAGCTGAGCCACTAATCGCCACGCTTGGTTCCAGTTAGATTCGAAGGGGATTTACGAGAGAGCTGAGTTTTCCAATTTCAAAGCGGGAGTTCTTCGAAGTTGCCGGGTCCCTCTGACGACGTTGTCAAGGTTAGGAGAAGCTGTTCCGAATTAACGAGGACCAGGCACAGATCTGATCGAACATCAGAGTTGTCGTTCATCTGGAAGCTCCAATGCACATCTGGAGCGTGTAAAGGTCAGCAGTCCAATAGAGAGTGTGCACACCTACTAGAAGCTCCTAGAGCAGATCCGAGGGCAAGAGTTTCTACTCACATCGAAGAGGTCTTCTGGCAAGTCCACCCGACGAATAGCTTCATTGTTGCCCTTGCTTTTGGTTTGTCAACCTTTCTTGTGCAGAATACGTGCACTTGAAATCTCCTTTGCAGAGAAATATGAGGCCTCAGCTAAAAAGCGCTTGAATCTTCAACATTCTGGACAACTGATTTCAATGAAAAGGCATTTAGCTTCATTCAAAGACACTGCACTCTGCTTCGAGAAAGCCGTTGTAGTCCGTCGAAGTCGGAGGAACATTGTACACCACCAATGAACGCTTTGCATCAAGGCGAGTCTCTGCAGCCCTCAACTTCTCACTCATCTCTCGGTGTCAAGAATACACGTTTCCTTACAGGAGTACTTTGGCGACTACTTTGCCATCGACCCGTACCACTTCACGCTCAACCTCCCATCCAACCACCTCTGCATGGTCCCCTCCGTCATGGATCCCCACGCCAGTCAACGAGCGGGGGACCGTATCGTCGAGGGCCTTGCCTCCGTCTTTCTCTCTCTCAAGAAGCGCCCTGTGATTCGGTACCAGCGAAGTTCGGAGATTGCGCGGAGGATAGCGTCGGATGTTGGGGTGAGGGAGGCTCGCAGGTTGCTTGGGTTATGCCGTATGAGACGATTCCGAGGCTAGGAAGGAAGGTATGGTGTGCTGCTTGAGAAACAAGCGCTTGAGTGGAGCGCCGTGGGCTGTCGGAACTAGGTCGGGTGGATTTTGGAGCTTGTCGAAGCTCATGAGCTGGCATCAAACGTGGAATTGGGTACTTCCCGTTGTCGAAGGTTTCGAAAGGGCGCTAAAGGGGTTCGATTGGATTTGCTTGTGCGTTCTGAGGGTTGAGAGAAGCTGAAGCTGGAGCGCTACGAGGTCCCTCCTTGAACTGCTCAGACCTACCGTTCTTGATGCTGAGGGGCAGCTCTTCCCTTACTGGACTGACTTTTGAAGATCTGCACGAGAAGGACCGTCGCTTCTGCAGCCAGGGCGCGAAAAGGACCGTCAGTTCTGGATCCAAGGCGCGGAAACATTAGACAGGCTGAATAGAACGGTCCTTCTTACGGTGATCACACAAGATATCACAGGGGGGACATGCATATACTTAAACGATCTTGACGAGCCTGCATAAGCAACAGGCTGACAACATCCTCTGGGACCTGCAATACGCTCGCTGGCTTGTTACCTATCGGTCTACCTCAGACATGGTCGCCAAAAATTTATCTGCTTCGTCCTTATAGATTGCCACCAAAGCTTAAGGCCCCCTGAAAGTCCGTCGACCGATGCACTCTTGCTCCGCCTTCCTTTGCTTGCAGAAGCTGATGTACGAACAGGAGAGCGGTTTGTTTGACTTCCGACGAGGGGACAACACGCCGTTGCTGTTGGTGCTGGACCGACGAGATGACCCGGTGACGCCGCTTCTTAACCAATGGACATACCAGGTGAGCTTTTCAACTTCCAGACCGTGAGATGAGAATTGCAGGCTAACCTGCTCTCGTGAATGAAGTTTCGAGGTGCTGGTTTCGTGTCAGTGATTGTTTGCGAAAGAGGTATTGTCTCCGGAACGAGCACAAGGACATGCGATATCGTAGAGTCTATCTTCAAGCAGTAATCTTCTGCACGTCCTCCCCCTCAGTAGTGTTGTGCCTAGCTTCGACAATCCAACGGGGGCAGGTTCTCCATGTCAATGCTCTTCAAATAACCAAGCATTACAACCTCCCCACGCGAAGATTCTAGTCCAGAGCAAACGGGCATCTCTTTCACCTATAATCGGGCACTCTCACTCCTCACCAAGCGGACACGCTTTTTACCCACCAAAGCCTGACAAAGCCCACCCGCGGCCACGCTTGTCCCGAGCAACCGGGCACCTCTCCCATATAACCGGGTACTTTTCCCATATTAACCGGGTACTTCTCCCCACTAACCGTGCAACCTGACCTTTCCACCGGGCACTTTTTCTTGCAGGCCATGGTGCACGAGCTGATTGGGTTGGAGGACAACCGGGTGGACTTGGGCCCCCCGACGGGCGCGAAGGCGAAAACCGAGGCGCAGCAGCTCGTGCTGTCACAAGAGCAGGACGCGTTCTTCAAGGCCAACATGTGCGTGACACGTGGCACTTGCTCACAGGAAGCTTTTGGTCTCGAAAAGTGTGCAAGAAAGAAGTGAATCTCATCCTTTGTGATGGTTCTGCAGACACGCTCGTAAGAGTAGCTTTATCAGGATGGAAGTTGCACCATCTACTGACAAAACCGTCTTCTACGTAATTTAACTTTATTTCTAAGGAAGCTTCAAAGCTGATTGTTGCACGCTTCTTTCCTTCCAGGTACGAGAACTTTGGCGACCTCGGGGCGAATATCAAGAAGATGGTCGACGAGTTCCAAGCGCAGTCGCGCTCCAACCAGAACCTGCAAACCCTGCGTGAGTTCGTCGTCAACAGCTCGACACTTTTGTTGAGCTCTGGTTCTCCTTGGCTGCTCCCCTGCTTACTTTAGGGTTGCCCCTCAATAGGGCATCCTTAGTGGCCGTACTTCTCAACGATTTTATCCCTGCTTGTACCAACGTTCGTTTCGCACCCGGGCACCTTGACACTGGAGGTGATGCTGTTCGTGACAGTATCGACTGTGCCGAGCAAGAAGATCTCAGGGGACAGGGCCTATTTTTCGCCTTTCAAAGAAGCCAAGCTTCTTCCTCATGCAATCCTTTGCTTTTCTATCTTCTTCCCCCTCTTTTTCGACCGATACGGAACTTTTGGTTCTCTGCATTCAATGCCGGTCGATCTTGAGAACAGTTCTGGGGCCCGGAAACTGACTCTCCAAAGCATTTTCTTGGGAAACCCATTTTTTATGGGCTGTCCTCAGATCAAGAGGGCTGAGAGCTAGTCTGCGCGTGGTGACTGGAATTTGACTGGTTACCAGATTTTCCAACTGATACTGGTGGCTTGTATACTGCAGAGGACATGGCGCACTTCGTGAAGAAGGACTTAGAGACCTGCTTAATCATTCTCAATGTTCTGAAGGTCCTTTTCTGGTCGGTAGCACTTACAAGGAATTTCAATGAAATTATCACATTGACTTAGGAAATGCAACCACTTAACCCCTTCGTTAATCCGCTGCAGAGGACATGGCGCGCTTTGTGGAGAAGGACCCCTAGGCCCGCTCAATCCTTCTCGTTTTCCTGAGAGGTTTTTTCTTGTCCGTAGCCCTTACAAGAAAATTCAGATAAGTCACCATAAACACTTACGAGTGCAAACCCTTTCCTCACCATTTGCCAGAGGACATGGCGCGCTTCGTGGAGAACTACCCCGAGTTCCGCAAGAAGTCGGGCAACGTGTCGAAGCACGTGTCGCTCATGTCGGAGCTGAGCCGCATCGTGGACGAGCGCATCCTCATGAGCGTGTCGCAAATCGAGCAGGACCTGGCGTGCACCGCGAGCCAGGCGACTGCGTTTGAGGAGGTACGTACCAACGGCTCTCTTTAAGATACTGGTATTTGACGGAGTCGAGGGCGTTTCGAAGGCTCAGAACCCTTGATGATCGAGAATGTCCGGAATTCGCCTTTGAGAAGGTGGGTATCGACTGGAAGGCGATGCAGACAGTTGTTGTTGATCGAGGGCTGCGGCTCTCATCCCAAGCGTTGACGCAGCTGGATTTTACGATCTCTTATGGTTTTTTGGCTCTCTAGGAGTTGTCTTCCGGTATCAGTCCCTGACTACTCAGTGCTACTGGTCAAGCTAAAATGATTCGCAGAACTGACAGTTTCTTGGTATGACTGCAATTGTTGACCTGAGCGTTCCGCTGTACTTACGCTGAAGCCTCTTTGGCCCCATTTTTGTCTTGCTGTCTCTTATTAGATTCTAGGCCATGTCCTTGTCTTCGTAGGTTCTGGGTTGCCTTTTAAATTACTCTAAGGGGCTCAACCTCGATCAGATTGTTCCTTTTCTTGCCAGGTGTCCACTCAGCTGGACAACGAGAAGGTGGGCGACGTGGACCGGCTACGGCTCGTGCTGCTCTATGCGTTGCGCTACGAGAAGGAGAATCCGCGACAGCTGGAGCAGCTCATGACCAAGCTCAGCAGCCGGCCTAGCAAGTACAAACCAGCCGTGAGTCAACTGGGCATTTTCATTGGGCCTTCCTCTCTGGAATGTATTCATGTACCAGGGGGCTTTGCAAACGTTTTATTAATCCTCTCAGGTTTCTTCCCAGTACTTAGGGGGTGGAGATGGCCCGTCATTGATCAAAGCTTAGAAGCAGCTATGCCAGCGTTAAGATCCGGCTTAGGGAGTACAAGCCAGCCGAGAACGTTTGCTCGGCGAATATTTGCCGAAACATTCTACACAATCTCTACACGCCACTCTTCGAACCAAACGGTCTGATTCGCCGGGTCCCTTTCCTTTTGCACGAAAGGGAAGGGACACATGGGCGTAAAAAGTGGACGAGGGACCATCGCAAAGCTCCCAGTATATCTTTTCACAACACACTGTGTGAAAGAAATTTCTGTTCCTTTAAACAACCGGTCTAATACTCGCCGGGTCCCTTTCCTCAGCTGGTCTACACTTTGCTGCGGCATGCGGGCGTGGAGAAGCGCACGGGCGACCTGTACATGAACCGGGACTTCATCAACCGGGCGCGCAACATTGCCCGGGGGCTCAAGGGCGTGGAGAACGTGTACACGCAGCACCAGCCGCTGCTGACGCAAACCATGGAAAATATTGCGAAGGGGCGGCTCAAGGACGTGGACTATCCGTTCGTTGGGAGCCACTACGCGCCTGCTGGCAGGTGAGACTTGTTATTCGGTTTGGGGGATGAGATAAGATTTATCGCTTTCTGTAAGGCAAGAAGGGAAAATGAAGAAGGTGACAGTAAGGAAAGCATAGGGAGAACGTGGCAGTAGGCTGGCTCAAGGACGTGGACTAACCGCTCGTTGGGAGCCATTATGCGCCTGCCGGCAGGTAATACTTTCCCCTTGATCCGAGAGGACGAAAAGGGACGTTGTCTGCGATTGGAGCAAATGATGTAGAGACGGAAGTGGGCGATGGAAAGCAATCTGCTACGGGGGCCTTTACAAAGGGGCGGCTTGAGGACGTAGAATACCCGTTCGTTGGGAGCCACTACGCTCCTGCCGGCAGAAAAAAATTGCTTGCAGGAACTGTGGGGAAGGTCTTGATTAAGAACGGTGATTAACCCCGAAATGAGCACTCAATGGGTATTTGGCGGCAAGGAGAGATTCCGTACCTAGGTTAAGAGCCGCATCAAGCGGAATTGACTGCTCTCCCTATATCTGACGAAAAGGGAAAGTGTGAAAATGTTGAAAGGGCGTGTCGAAGGATCGGTCAACTCGTTCGTTTACATGCCCGCCGGCACGTAGATGGGAAGGAAGCCCTTAAACTTTCAAAAGTTTCTCAATGACAGGCTTCAACGCTGATCGACGTGTGTCCGAATTGAAATTCTGTTTGTTGACTTCTTTTTGAGGATCGCGTCGCTTTTAGTTTCCGGGCTGACAGAACGGATGGAAGGAGAACGCCTCCCGGTCGGTCACTTTCGACAATTGCCCTCGGTTGGAACCCTTCAGATGGACGGTCCAACAAGGTCTTACTGGCAGACTCAGCCGTCGACTCCTAAAATTGTAGCCAACGCGACTCGCTAGGATTGCCTGGAATACCTTTTTCTCGCTCCATCCGTTATCCGTTTTGACAGAATCTGTCCGGTTGCTATTTCTGATACCGCATCTTCTCGCTCGCAGGCCGCAGGACGTGGTCGTTTTCATCGTGGGCGGGTCCACGTACGAGGAGTCGCGCGCTGTGGCCCTCCAAAACAACACCGCGAGCGGCGTCAAGTTTGTCCTGGGGGGCACCGTCGTGCACAACTCTGCGAGGTCAGTCTTTCGACGCAATACTAAATCTGCTGAGAAGCAAGACGGAAATTGCTGCGATGCTTCCGTCTCGTACGTCCAATCTTGGAGTTGGTGAAAGCGTCTAGTTCGTCAGAAAGGCAGGACACATTGGTGCAGGCATCATTCGAAAGTGCTTGTCGTCTTGCGTTAAAAGTTTCTTCGGAGTGTTTTCTTCGTTTTCGACATTTGATCTTCAGCTTCGCAAGATGAAAACAGGAAAAAAAAAACCCCCAACAGCAATTGCTTGCCGTCGGCGCACTCGAGCGTGACCCGCTCTCAGATCAGATCCGGTTCGTTTTTCTAGATTGCTAGCACTCTTACGAAGCTTTTGTCTGTGCAGCTTCCTTTCCGACCTGGAAGAAGTGTACCGGCTAGAAAGGACGAGCGACCTTGTATAAGTTGTGTTGGCCCTGGCGCTTAGTTGGCACCGTTTCCTGTCTTCTTGACTGAGGCCGGTCCACTGTGAAGTCCACAGACCAGCAACTTGACGCTTGCCATCAACGTTTGCAAAGTGTCAAAGGCCCGGCCCGTAGTATGTGTAACATATTCAACCCCACCAGCTTGCAAGTAAGCTTCTCGTTAAAGGGGCTAGCTCGTATCAAGGGCCGGGCCTGCCTCTTCGACCATGATCGAAAGTGTTTGAGTACGGCCTTTCTGAGCAGCCTGTGGACGTCTCGTTTTCCAAATGGACGTTTGACCTCACTCGAAATGATCAAAGTGGACGTTACTTTTTCCAAATGGACGTCTGACCTCACTCCAAATGATCAAAGAAGAGTTTCTTGAACCCGAGTTGGCTACTTCGTACCTATCATTCAATGACACATGCAATGACATGACCTTCAATGCCTGTGTGCGTGATGGTGGCCACAATGTGCCAGCTTGCCGGCCTGGCCGCCCGGTTGCGCGCGTGCGCGCGCTGTGCTTGAGGCTGTTGCGAGGGCCCGCGTAGGTTCCTAGCTCATGGACTTATACTAAAAACCATGCCATGAGAGCTCCGCCCTGCCGCCCCGAGAGGTACCGTTCATGATAGTACGTACCCAACACGTATCCTCATCGTAATTTTTACATATTGAACGTTTGCAAGAATGAGTTTACGCATCCCTACACGCCTGCACTGGATATATATCATGACATGCACGCCCGGGCCTCTATGTCGGCGCGACTAGCACATGCTGCATGCTTAGTAGGTTTTGGCGCGTCGCTCGCCAGCTAGCAGCTTTAAGGCTGCACGCGTCATCCGTGTGCATGCCGGGCGCAGTGGGCGCCCACCGTTGAACACCGTGACATACATGCAAGCCGCCCACCTGAAAGCTGAATCCCAACGAATTTGACGATGGTGTACCTTGACTATACTGTGAAAGTTCAGGTCCAACATGATCAAACAGGTCGGTTAGGAGAATGCGGTCAAAGAAGAGCTACAGCCATGACGGTCCGACCAGTCCTCGAAGTCTGGTCGCCGTCTTTAGCTACTGTACGATGGAATCTTAAATACATGTATGTGGACTTGACCAATTCGCTACTTAGTGCTCTCCTCATGCAACGCGTTAGCTTGCATGGTCCAGCGATTCGAGCAACCACTATCAGAAGCTAATGCTCAACCTTGTAGTCGCTACTTTACATCTATCACCTTGTTGCGAAAACATCGACAGAGTCAGACAGAGCCTAATCGGCCCCTACGGTCTTATCCTCCGAGGGATGCCAAAACCGCTTTCCAACCTCCGCCTGCCGCACCCCATACCTCCGCACTGCATCCTCTTGGGCTTTAACCAACGGTTCGTAAAACGGGTGATGCGACTCCTTATACGGGTTATTGTGCTTGGTATTGTAACAACACAAAAGCGACCATCGAGGGTGGGGTGACGTGTTCGCCTGGGAGCGGTGCAACGTGTTGCAATGGAAGAAGAGCGCGTCCCCTGGGGCCATTTCACAGTAAACCAGCTCAAGCGCTTTTTGGGCCTGTTCACACCGCTCCGGGTCCGCACCCGTTTGTTCGCCGTACCGCCCGTGTTCGACTCGGCCCAACAGGTGGGACCCTTTCAGCACCTGAAAGAACGCATATTGTCAAATTCTCGATCCAAGGCCGTTCCCCAACATATACTTGCAAAAGTGTCACGATATTTCAGGAGGTGCCTCGAGTCCAGGAGTTTCGGGGTACTATAGATTCCAGAGAACGTGGCAGCTCGACTCTTGATTGATCTGACCCAACAGCAGAGCTTGGGCCGGTCCATGATTGGAGGACTCAAGTCCGTGGAGTTTGACCAACCACTGAGGCCAGCTGATCAGACTAGAAGGAGGTTGCCTGGCTTTCGATGAAGTAGCCGCCAAACTACTGCAACAACCAGACAACCTGCGTTTCCTGCCCCTCTCTTCTGCTATCTCTGCGAAGATTCTTCTCCCAAGCCGATTAGAACCTCAAGTTTTGAGCGCACTCTTCGACATAAAACCATAAGCGGGACTGAGCACTGGTTTACGCAAACCCGAAAAGGAGTCGTCGACGCTCCAGGCCCTCCTTCCAAAAGAGAGGTATCGTTCTTCACATCCAAAGCGTAACCAGAAACTGAAAGAAAAGCCCACCTGCAAACAGCCGTTCTCCTTCGTGTTGGGGTCCACTGCAACCATAACCGAGCCCATGTCCGGGAAGAGACACCCGTTGAGGTACCAGTACCCGTAGTCCTGGTGCCAGCAAAACGAACCCCCAGTGAACGGCTCCTTAATCACCATCTTCGAATGGTAGTGGTACACCTGCGAAGTTTGAAAAAGGCAAGCGTGAGAGCGAATCCAGCATTTACAATCCTTGGCGAAACTCGTCAGGATTGCACCAATGCCTGAGGAAGGTGTGAAAGTTTGAGATGGGAAGACGGACAAGACGACCCGTAGCATGGGTCGAAGGGCTTGGAAAAATCACATATTTGCGTCCGATCAATCCGTAAGAGAAACGAAAGACCCCCAGAGGAATCCTGGCAACAAATTTCATGGGTGCAAGCGGGATACAGTCCAGCAGTCGGCTGTTTCAAGAATCTGCAGAAGCGACAAGAAGTCTGAGCTGTTTTAAATCAGCCCAAGATTGTAGCCTTTCGCACTCAAACGCACTCCAGCACGTCGAGAAAATGGCTGACGAATCAACCGCGATTTTCTCCTCCTCTTGTTTTCCTTTTTTTCGCTTTTCAAACTTATCCAACCCACCTCGTCCCCCAGTAAGTGCTCCAGAGTATCGACGACTTTCGGAAGCCGTGAGATGGTCCCGTAGACGTCGTCCGAGGGGTGGTTCCAGAGCGCCATCTTCACTTTCTTTCCGTCGGGGTCAGCGACTCCGTGCGCGTGCTGTTTGAACGCCGGGTCGGACTTGGCGGTGCGTACGAGGATGTCCGTTTCTTCCTGCAGACGACAATAAGTGGAGCAATGATTCTAGAAAAAGAAACCGTACTGTGAAACTGGGGGAGGGAAAAGAGAGAACGTCAATCAGAACGTCCAATCAAAGCTGGCGGTGCAATCGAGGATGTCCGTGTTTTCGTGCAGACAAAGGCGATGTCGCGACTTGATTACAATGAATAAGGCAGCCCAGGACTCAACGATGACAAGTACATGGAAACAAGGAGATTAAAAGGGGCTATTCAATTCTGGCCTCAAGGGCTTCTTCTAGAGCTTGTTGTCTTGAGGGCTCCTCACGTCAAATGACTAGTGAAGTGTGCATGGCCTGCCCTAGAATAGAAAGCGAAAATTCCTAGGCCCTCGCTCATAAATGAGGGCCCGCGATCATTGGTTAAGGTACACGATTCGAGGACCAACCATGATTGAGTTTACCAGATTGTGTCGCCTGTTGCAAAACGAAGTTTACTACTGCTCTTAGGCCAGGCTTTCTTTTGAAGAGCCACAAGGGAAGGGGGGAAGCTTCTGAAAAGGAATTCTGAAAGCCAGCGTCTTTGGCATTCTCTGTGGACCAATCTGACGAAGACAAATTCCTAAGAGTTTGTTGACACCAGAGGACAAGGGACCAGGTAGTATATCTGGTTTGCAGCCTTACCTGGTCAAGAAGGTTCCTCACTATGATGAAGCCATCTCTGTCGAACTGCGCCTTCTGACTTGCTGTCAGGACGCTTTTAACCCCCAGCAATGTAGAGTTGACAGCTGATTGAGCGGGATGTACTTTTACTTCAGTTTGATCCATCGTTGCACCACTCCTTGCAAGAATCACAGTTGCTTTTCTTGAACGACGGTCCTGCAAAGGGTGCGGCCTCCGGCTGCAAAAGTGCGGGTGAGATGGACGAATCTGATTGATAAAGCTGGGGTGATTGGTTCTCCAGATTGCTTCAGGAAGGCTCTGAGATGAGGCTGAGGAAGCAGCAAAAGAGCAGGACTGGGACGTCTCTCGGAGGCCTCTTGGATGAGCCTGGTAAATATTGAAAGAAGAATTATAGCTAGTGGTGCATGTGCTACAGCCTGCCATTGACTGCAACAAAAGCTGGGCGCTTATTTCAATGTCCCGCAGATGCAGTTTTGATTCCGAGTCATCCCTTTGATGCCCAGAGGTTTCACAACAGGCTCGAAGCGAACAATGTTGAGTTCAATCGGGGCAATTAACGTGAGGGATGCGTCCTTCTAAAGGAGCACCGAAGAGGATTCTCAAGGACGTTTTTGCTGCTTCATTTGGATTCCCCTAGAAGAGGGTTTGCAGCACCAATGGTCGTTTGTACAGCTTCCAACGCAGTGCTTACAAAGAATTCCCACCTCCTCCCAAGCCGCCAATGGCGAAGGGTCCCAGAGCGCACTAGCTGGCCCTAGCTAGCTGATCAAAATGCTGCAGTGAGACTACTAGGGTTAGGGTTTCGAGCCCTTGAACTTTGAAGTTTGAGGGAGTCACAGACAGCGTATCCGACTGACATAACCCGAGGGTTAACACAGATAATGGTTAAGGTGCAGGGTTCGGCAAGTTGCCCTGATCGACTAGAGAAATGTGGTGCAAGACATTTCGATTTTGCAGAAAGCAAAGCTGGCAGAGGACTTGTCCTTCCCGATGGCGGCTTGTCTTGGCATCAAAGTGGGGCAGTTTTGCTCTATAGAAACCGTCCATGTTCTGCAGGACCAGCAGCATAGAAGCCATGGCGTGGCCGCTGCTTCACATTCTCAATTCTGCACAGCGCGGCGGCATCGTAAGTTTCTGACCTTCTCACTTCTTTGTATGAATCATAGAGGAGTAAATGAGAGTTCTTCTAAATGAGCTGTGAGCATAGTCTGCAAACTCTGGATCTTGAAATGATTGATGAATGGACGAGACTGCCACCACTACGTCATACAAATTCTGAACGACATTCAACTGTTGCCCTGATTCTGGAATTGCTTTCACTGGTCCCGCTTTTCCATTGATGCAAAAACCTCTCAAACAAAGAATCCTATTTTGGAAACCTCAGCCCTCTACAATTGGCGCTGAGAACGTGCCAAAAGAGTGTGCATCAGATAAGTGCCAAGCATTGTATGTGCTTGATATCAAGCAGGCATGGTCTGCTTTTTGACAATCTTTAGCGCCCGCTCAGCACATGCGCTCACCATGTGCAACTTGAGTTTCTAGTGTGATTCGAGTGCAGATTCGGGGTCATGTTAGGCCCCTGCTGGGGGCATAATTCTTTTGGCATGGGCCTCATTGACGCTTTACTTCGCCAGTCCATTGGGGGTGGGGGACTTGTGAAGTAGTTTCTAAGCTTGTGCCTAGCTAGAGTGATAGGTACTTCAACTACACCGTATGAAATCTTTTCATTGCCTTGTCATTTGGGTAGAGTTCTCCATGATATCTGGCGGAAATATCATGATTACAATGTCTTGTCAAGAGTTGGTATGGGTAGGTACAATCTGGTATCATACTTCCTCCATGCTGTGGTTGAAACCCCTCGATTGGCTGTTTCTTGACGTTCGCTCCTGACAGAGTTGAAAAGGGACATTCTGTTCTGCAGATCTTCCAATTTCAGTAGGCCGGTCCTTGAGTAAGTGTGCCACATGGAGGAAAAGAAGCATTCAAGGCAGAGGTATCTCACATACCTGGGAAAAAGAGGTTGTGAAAGCGCGACGGAACGGGCCGCCGCCAGGTGGTGCTCTGAAGGTGAGTGTATACATAGGTGTTGCATCAAGCAGTCAACAACCTACTTTTGACACTCTGGTGTCTGCAATGCATAATGTCTCCTCGTAGCTGTACCTGGTTGGTTAGAAGCAAATCCAAGAATCTACTGCGATTGTTTCAAAAGGGTAAATCACATACCTGCGTGCAAGATTCAAACACTCGAAGCGTTTCCTTTGCTGACGATCCCAATACGACGAGCCAAGTCTTCATCTCTTTGGTTCTCATATACGCCCCTCTGGACTCGGATGTATTCGGTTGTCTACTAACATTTGTATTGTTGGAAGGCTGGTTTGACCAGTTCGTTGCGTAAGTGCTTGTTAATCTGCCAAGGAGGAACGACTCTAGAGATTGCTATGTGTTTTGCTTGTGCCTTCGAATCGTTTCATCAATCAGCACGTATCAAAGTCCGAGCAATTCTGGGTCCAATACTGCAGATTGAAGCCCGAGGATCAGGAAAAGCATTCATGTTTGATATCGCCGACAATTTCGTACTGCTCGAACCAGATCAAGACGAAACGTTTGTTTCTCAAGTCGAGTTGAAAGAGAAGCTGAGGCCTTACTTAGAGAACTGGCCCGGAAAGAGCTTGCCAGATGACTTAGCTAGTTTTGCTTCGATAGACGAAGCTTTAGACTATCTCGTGGGGACTGCATGCGAGCTGCAATTAGGGGCTGGACAGGGAACTATTCAGTGGTTCGAAGTGCGTCTTGAGCCTTGAGAGGAGAATGGTTGGATACCAGTCCAACGTCTAGCAATTGAAAAGCAGGTCCAGCATGTGCGCACCATGAACCAAAGGTGCCGAAGCCAAATGGTTGATGGTCCAGCAACCGCGTGTGTACGCCCGTTTGCATGTCGAATCCAGGGCTCATTGCATGACAAGCCTCCAACAGTTGTGTGGAAGAGGAAGTGGCTCGATTGCCTTGAAATCATGTAGCGAATCATCAATCCTAGATCCTGACTTGGCCGGGGCTCGGCACTTAACACACGAGTTGCACGCATACTTGCGGTGCCTCCGTTTGCATGGGTTTCTGGAATGAAGCCCGACTAAAGTCCTTATGAATGACAAGTTTTCAAGGATCTCACATATAAGGCAAATCGAACCGGAAAGGCCTGAGCCACTGGCATACTAGCATCTATGAAATTGTGGTTATACTATGCTGCAAATACAAACATGCCGCAATGCCCACCATGCTGATAGTTCAATGGGCCATCGCAGCTCCAGCTAGTACGTCGATCGAGAGTTCCCTAGCCAGTTTACCAGCTACCGTAGCTTAAAACCTAATGAACACAGATGCCTAGTTCTGCAGACCGTGCGATACATAGTGCATGCTTATCGAACGGCTCCACTTGCATCATGCATCCTCTGACAAGAAACGCGCTGATCCTGGAATGCAAGCAGATGCAAGAGCCCCACCTAGGACCTAAACCCTCATTTCTAACCCAGAAGCTGGCAAACGCTCCGACCCACAACCATCCTAACCTCCTAATAATTAACCCCACAAGTTCCCCGGGTGCTTCTCTGAATGAAAGCTAGCTGCTTCGTGAAAGCGAGAGCAGCTGGCAAGCTTCTTTCACCGGTAGCTTCTTTCACCGCCCAAGGCTTCAATTGCCAGTTCCTGGACTTCGACGTTCAGCACGTTGAAACTTGAATCAAGATAGGTAGTCGATTGGCGTTCGCTGTACATGGAGTTTGAGCACGGAAGGATACTACCTACTTAGCGCCCGTATGCCTGAAAGGTTGGAGGTTTGTTGACTCAATTGCATGGTGAACTTAAGAGAAGTAGACGGTATGTAGGACCGGTTGGGTTTGGAATGCATCAAAGATGGCGTTGTCTGTGAAAATGTCGCTTTCGCAAGGTCTAGACGTGTTCTGCGCGGCAGAAGCAGGGTGTTACACACGCCAGGGTCGCCGGCCATCTTGCTCAGGTAGAAACCCTAATCCAACGCTCTGCATTTTGAATTACAACTTGTCTCCTGTTAGAAGGTCAGCATTCTCTGTACTCTCCTCTAGGCCACTCGCATGGGTGGTCAATGGCAGGTCGAGTTTCGTGCCCCGTGTCAGGCTTCGCAATGCTGGTACCCGTGCTTCGGAAGCGGACGAGGGGCTCGAGACGTTCGACTGGGGGGAGGGGAGCATCGTCATCCCCAAGTTCAACGAGAACTACTTCCCTGTTGATGAGAATGGAGCAATCATCGACATTCCTTCCCCACGGAAGAAGAAGAAGCCTAAGCAGGTCAGGGCTGCCACTACTCTGGCCGCTTCCAGTGGGTGTACCAGCAGCTTATTACTGTGTGCCGGAGTGGTGAGTCTATGTGCAAGGGCGTTCAATCTAGGACTGTAAAATCTGGGGGTGTCTGAGCATGAAGTCTTAAAAGTCTGGGCGTAGGCAATGTACCACCGTTACCAACATAATACAGGATGTGTTGCTAAATGAGTCTGTAATGAGTGAAGCATGTATTGTGAAGTGGCTGTGTTTCCGCATGCATATGTATAAGTCACTGTAACAACGAAGGGTTTCTCTGGCAAGATGGCCGCAAGAAAAGCCTGGCTGCATTACACTCGAGTTTTAGGGTTTGTGGCTGATTATGAGGTTTCTTCAACCAGTGCCAGACCCGGAAGTGGCTTCTACCTCTCTTTCTTTCAACATTGGTTGTTGTGCTCTTATTTGTCAGGCCATCCAGAACCACCTGCGATCACTAAACGAGCCAAGACACCTTGACCGCTGTGGTGATAGTGCACACCATTGACCATTCAGGGGTGTCAGCTGGGGGTGCGACCACCACCGGCATCAGACTGAGCCTTAAGTAGAAAGCTCCGGTATCCCAACCACTGACATGAGGAATAGAATGGAAGCAGAGTTGACGTGGCTCAAAGGCGGAAGCTTGCGTTTGCAGGTGACAGCAAAGTTGGACGCGGACGGCAACCCGGTGGTTCGGAGGAAGCGCACTTCCCGCCCAAAGGTAGGTCTAGTGGTTTCTCGCAGAGACATGCTGCACACTCTCAAGACTGGCTTTACTCAAGACTGGCTCCTGAGACCAGTGAGAGGAGCGGCAGTGTATACTGACTTGCGTGACCATCCGCCATCCACAGTCTAGGAGAGACTAGATTCTGAGGGGACCGTCTATATGGTCCACTTGAAGAGCGATTCATGATGTACGCTTCCCGATTGGTCTTCCCCATATTGTATTTTGATTCGCGCACACCGGACTCTATACATAGACCTGGCAGAGCCTTGCGTGAGCTTTGTGCGGGTGAGGGGCAGTCGAAATCCCCAGTCGAGTCCCGGCTCAAAGTTGAAGATTGTTTGATCCTAAAAAGCCTCAATTTTCAACTCCCTTTACTGCCAAGATGCATTTTTCAAAAAGTGAAGTGGACTTAGCAAGGCAGAAGTCGTACAAGCTCGGAAAGATACGTCAAGGAAAATAGTGTAGCCTTTTGGGGGAAGAAAAAAGGCAAGAGGGTATCGGTAAGATTTCGAATTTGGAGGGGTCAAGGGCTGTGGATACTTCAAACAATAAACTGGAAGAAAGTTGACATTAGAAGGATGGGGCACCTATGACAATGTGTCGGAGTAGACCGTAACAAAGGACGGAAGAAAACAAAAGCAGAGTTCAAACACGAATCCGACTGACGTCATCGACATGTGCTTGAGCAGGAGGTGCAATCTGAAATTGTCTGAAAAGCGGCCGCGGCAGCGGCAGCTTCGAACATAAGAGGGACGGACAAAGACTTCGAAAGAAAAGAAAACAAATGTCAAGGTTCGAGTTCCAATGACAAATGAAACTTGAAAAGGTGAAAATGGCCGACACTATACGTCTTCGTGAGCAGGAGGTGCCGATCAACCCGGACCCTGATTCGGACGAGAAGGGGCCGCGGCAGCTTCGGACGGCAAAAGACATCGGCCAGGCGAAACAGGCAGCGAAACTGGCAGTGGTCAGGCGGGCCAAGGCGAAAGAGGCGGCAGCAAGAAAGAGGGCGAGAGAGAGAGCAAAAGCGGAAGCGACGAAGGCGACTGAGTCGGAGTCGGGGCAGGACGAGGAGGGGGGTGCGGAGACGCAGGAAGAAACAGAGGCTGAGGTGGGTTCCTTCCGAGAGCCAATGGAATGGATCTGCTTGTGTGAAGAGTGGGGGAGGGATCTGCGGTTTTGACAAAGGTTCCGGATGTAGAAGGCAAACCTTTTGGTATTGTCATGCATGATTATCGTGATCGAATACTGCCTACAGGGCTCATCCTACAAGTTTTGACGGCGCTTTCTCTTTCTAGAATGACCGAAGAATACTCTACGGCTGCAAAAACACTGCGCCAGGTTCCAAAGGAGAGCCAGGGGAAAGCTGGCTTTGTGAAGGAAGACGCCCTCTAAATAAACACCTTCCATGGATTTATTCGTGCGTCCTGTCTGCTCGAGGCGTGTGAATCTTGTTATCTGTGAAAACGAGTCCGAAAAGTCACTTCACTTGAGAAGAGCTAACATTTCTGCCCAGATTGCTTTTGAACTTTCCTCTCACAACCCTTATGGGAATTACCGAACGTGTGAAAGCGTTCATGTCTTGCCAAGCAATTGATCGACAAGGTCACATTAGCAAAAATAGATAGACGCTCTGCTCGCCAGGCTTGAGGAAGTAGAGGCGGCCAAAATCAGTTTGCAGTTTCTCGCACGCTCCATTTCTGAAGATACTGGTATTGACAAATTCCACAGTCGGTACGAAAAAAAGAGTAAGGCAGCGCCCCCACCAGAAGGGGAAAGAAGAAGGGAATTGTTTTGGGGAGAATGACGAAGCGCTGGTGGAGCTTGAAGGGGCCCTATTACATTTTCAATTTGTTCGGAGACCGGAGAGCCTGTTGTCGAACAAGAGCCATTCCTTGTAAGGAAGCGAAGCGCACGTTTCGTCGAGCTTGAAAGTCGAAGGCACAGCGTGGTTACACTCTTGGCAGAAGAATTGGGGGTCTGAGGTTTCGTCTGTATTTTTTGCAGATAAGTGAAACGGCTCCGCCTGCGTCAGAGGAACCTCAAGATGACCCTTTTGCCGAGGAGGACGAAGACGCGCTTCTCGCGGAGCTCGAGGAACTAGAGGCGCGTGCTGAGATCAGCGAGGCTGGGCGGCGCCAGCTGGCGGCGCTGCGGCGCAACCGCAAAGGGCGGCTGATGAGCGAGCTGCGGGCGACCACGCTGAAGCAGGTAGGCGGACGGCACTCATATTGCGCTTCCTTCTAAGTAAGCTTTGGAATTTCACCACCAAGGGATATCTTGAACGGTTTCGCAGCAGTGGCTCCGCCGGTTCCGAGTTTCTGAACAGCGAAATAGCGTGGCAGCCTCAAAACGTCGATAGATAACCATATACCAGCATTGTACTCTTTGGTTTTGAAGCCGCACCGCTGATCTGCGTTGGTTGCCTTCTTTGGCAAGGCAAGATGCCCCCTGAAGCCACCCGAAGATTCACAATCTTTGATCCACGAAACGCTAAGTACACGATCCCACATGGGTGGCCGTCTGTGCCACGGCAAGGGCTTCCCACTTTCCTTGATAATGATTTTGATCTACTGATCTACGGTTTATGCTGCCTTTTACGGTGTGGATTTATGAGTGGTGGTACCAGCCAACCGAGCAAGACGAAAATTCGACGTCGAAGTCTGCGGACATGCACGAAGTGCGACGCTAAAGCTCACACCATGCAGCGCTCGGACCAAAATGTTCGATTCGTAAGCGTTGACCGCGCCGCTTGGGGACTCCAGTCGAGGAAAATCTCGCACCTTTATGCAGTCATTTTTTTATGCCGTACCGTACGATTTATCGTCGAACAGAGCCAATCCAAGCAGTTCGGACGGCGGGCCCGCGTCACGGCGTCGTACAGTGGCGCTGGGCCCTATTCCTATGGTTGCCTACTTCCTAAGAGGAACTGGCAAGTCAATATGGCCCTGCCGGACTTCATGAAGGACAAGCTTGCGGAGTCGCTGACATCAATCATCTTTTCTCCTAGGGGTTCCGTTGTTTGCAAGTCGAATGGGACCCTGAAATCTGGATTTCTGCAAGAGTAGTCCCACATCTTTTTAACACACGAACTCCCTGGTCAAGCATGCAGCTGTGTCCAGTTGTCACCAGAACGGTTTCAGACAAGCGTGCAGAGTCCGGACCCATGTTAGTCTAGGGACGTCTTAGTTTTGCAGAGAGTGCCGGAATTTGAAATCCTGAACACATAATTGTGATCTCCTGAAACCCCAAACATAATGCTATGTTTGCCCAGTTCGTGCACAAGACGGAGGGAGAAACGCGTGGAGCTGCTGGCATCAAACGCCCAGTCCCGTTTCCTCTCCTCTGCAAGCTGGCACCACGATAATGCTAGACTTTGAAATCCGAACAAATTGAATTCTACTTATTTGATTTCTTCTCCTAGTTGTCGCACAAAACGGAGGAGAAACGCGTGGAGCTGCTGGCGATGAGCTCGAAGGTCGAGAAGCGGTGGTACGTCGTCAACTGCACGGTCCCCGAGGCGGACGTCGCGGCCGCGTTCCGGGAGCGGCTTGCGATGTACGCGCCAGACGAGGAGGTGAGTGCAGACTCTGCGGAACGCTTATTTTCAGTCGAAAGTGGTTTTCAGTTGTGCTTGGGGTCCGACGTTGAGCTCAGGCTGGCATATCAAGGTGTCAATTCCCGTAAACGGAAGTCGCGGCGGCGTTCTGGGAGCGGCTCTTACTGTATGCGCCAGACGAGTAGGTGGGTCACGCTTTGTGGAACGATGTTTTAAAGCTCCAATCTGCATTTGGGGTCGGGAGTTATGCTCAGGTCCGCATTTATGGTGCCAAAAGATGCAAACGGAAGTCGTGTCTGCTTTCTGGGAGCGGCTCGCGATGTTTGCGCCGGACGAGGTGGTGAGGGCACGCTCTCCCGACCGATTGTTCATACGGTGACTGTTACAAAATGATGATTGGGCAATTATTTTCGCAGTTAAAGAGTTGAGATTAAGTGCTTCGGGATCCGATGACTAGGGCAGGTCCGTAACTCAGGGCGTCGAGCTGTGCAAACGAGTCTTACATCTAACCTGTTTCATTAGGAGAGTCACGTTTAGGCGTGTTACCTTTGAGAGTCCCACGAACTAGACCTAGCCCTCAGCACAGCGTTTCATTATTTCGTATTCTTTCCTATCCCATTTTATATCCGGACTCCGAACTGCCGGCAGTGAAATGTGAAAATTGGGAAAGCGCGCCACCCAGACTAAAAATGGACCGTAATCATGATAAAAACCAAAGTCGACCTAGATACAACCCTTGGCTTAGCTCTGGTTCTCACCGTTTCTTTCCTTCCGCAGATCGACATTCGGACCCCCCAGCTGCTGGAGGTGAAAATTCCGAAGACTGGCGAAGCGCGTCACTCAATCCAGACACAACCTTGACTATATCTAAATCACAGACTAGATTATAACTTTTAGCACCGCACTCAACCTCATTTTTGCGTTCGCTTTTCTAGATTGATGTCCGGACCCCCGAGTTGCCGGCGGTGAAGATCCTGAAGAACGGCGAAGCGCGCCACTTCAGCACGTTCGTGACGAACAACGTGCTGTTCATCTGCGCGCGCCTGACGCCGCAGGTGCTGCAAGCCATGTCCGCAACGCCGGGGCTGTACAACATCGAAGGGGCGGAGAACAAGGGCGTGTGAGCCTCCAGGCCCCGATGCTTTGACCCAAACATTTCTATCCTCCCTTCCTTCCTTTCTTTTGTTCAGCTTCAGATTGTCTCTTGAAAAGCGTCGAGGGTTACAATGTTGAAGGAGCGCAGAGTCGAGGGTTGTGATCTTTGAGGCCCCTTTTCGAAATTGAAGGGAGTTTTTGCGTTGTTGTTTCCTGCGTCCCTTTCGTCCAGTTCCAAAAGTAGCAAACCAACAGCTAAGCGGAGATTTGACAGTGAAGAATCGTGAAAAAGAAGCGCGGAAGTCTGCGCCTTCTGTCCACCCCCTTTCTTCCGCACAGCCAAATTGTCCTTCGTACTGTCGACTGTCTTTCTTTCTTTTTGCAAATTTGTTTCTTCGTCTCTTTTACTCATTTGTACTGTTTACTTACTTCGATGAACAGCCATCGAAGGAGCTAGGAACAACGATGTGTAAGTTATGCATGTCGCTTGCATTCTCGCGTCCGTTTCATGCGCCATTCGCTCTCAACATCGATTTGCTTCCTATTTCCTTTCGCATTCCTTCCGGTTTAGTGGCTTCACAGCTTTGTATATTACGTTCTCAAATGTGTGCTGACGATCAGCGTGCACGTTGTGTGGCGCGGTTCATGTTTTATAACTTCAAAATTCTCGGTTACTTTTTGCTGAGAGTTGCCGTCACGTTTCCAGAATGAGCGTCGGGGCCGGCATGCAAGCGGAGCCATTCGTGAAGATGATTCAGGGCGCATATTCAGAGGTACAGGAGACGAGTGCCGCGGCGCAGGCCGAGATGGATTATGGATTCGAAATTTTGGAACCTGCATTCTTTGTGCAGCCTATTGCGTGCTGACATACGGCTGTTCACGTTTCCAGGATGAGTGTCGCGTCGGGCATGCAGGCCAAGCGATTCGTTGAGATGATCGAGGACGCAGAACCAGAAGTGCACATTATCGCAGCGGGCGCAGGCCACGGAATAGGATTTGCAACTCCCGCTTCTTCTCTTCTCGATTAATTGCTGACAGTCCGTTTCGCACATTTCCAGGATGAGTGTGGCGGCCGGCATGCAAGCGGAGCGTTTCGTGAAGATGATCGAGGACGCAGAACGAGAGGTGCAGGAAACAGTTGCTGCGGCGCAGGCTAAGATGGAGAAGGAGAAGGAAGAGGCGGCAAAGAGGAAGGCTGAGGCGGCGGCGGCGAGAAAGGGCAAGAAGGAGCAGACTTTGCCGGAGGTGAGGAGGCAGTTCTGTTTAACCTGTCGGTGATTTGCGTCTGTGGCAAATCTGAGGAACTTATTTCAATGGTCGCGCTGATACGTGCGGGCTCTCACGCTTATCAACCCATCTGGGCCTGATTGTTCGCTAGAAGGTCTGTTAGTGACTGCGACCAACCGTTTGCAGATCAAAGCGGTTTGATTAAAAGAAAGCGTTGACGTCAGAGCTTCCGTCTGCGTTCAACCGTGCTTGTTTGGCCTTTAAGGAGGTGCTGGAGCTCATAATGGCACAATGCTCGTCTACTCCGCTGAAATCGACTTGTTGCATGGTCACCGGTTACTTTGATAGAAGCGACGGTTGCTCAACTCTGCGGTTCCAGCCCTTCAGACTCTTCTTGCGAAAAATCAGAAACTTTTACATGCATTGTTGTGCTCAACAGGAACCTGAGTTGGAAGGCGGGGGGAACGGAGTGCCACAAGAAAGCGAGGGATTGATCGAGGCCCCTGCAGCGAATGTCAAGTATGCGGTTGGGAGTGACGTCATGGTGGCGCGGGGTCCGTTTGCGGGGCTGACGGGGGAGGTGACGACGCGGGACGGGGAGAAGCAAGAGGTGAGGAGAAAACGGTCAATCGTCAGTAGCGGCTTCGGTGACGTCACCACGATGGCTCGGATGTTAGGTTCGTGTAGATTTGATTACCGGATGTACAAGGGTCTTGCAATGGTGAGGCGGGGTGAATATCACTTGGCTTTCTTTTCTCGCCTCAGGAGCGGCATGCAGAAGTCATCCTCTACTGGGTAGCAAACCAAAGAATATCTTTGCTAGCAGTACGATGTCAGGACATAGCAGCCTTGTATGCATTGCTTTCGCACGAGAAGCCGAACGTTGGTTCTTTCCAAGCGCCTAATATTCTAACGCCGTGCTTTAAGAGGGCTGCTTGGCTGGAGGTCGCATGTCAGGCGTGTTGAGGTCTGATTGTAGTAGGAGATTTTGGAGGCAGTAGCACTGCTTATCTTTGTCAAGCAGGAATGAGTTGATGACCTAAAACAAATCTGCAGGCTTCAGAAGACGCTACGCATGCCCCTAGTGTAAAATTCGGTTGGACAGAAAGGTAAAAAAATCACTTGTCTGTTGATATCGCTGCTACTTACCATCAATCAATGTCCTGACCGAGTCTGTCTTCCACGCAGTTGAAAGTCAAGATTATGATTCTCGGGCAGTATACCGAAGTCGACGTCAAGTTTAAAGACGTCCGACCCGTCAAGGCCCCCGCCTCGAAAACACCTGCGTTTGATCCGTTCCGGCGAGAAGTTCCGCTCCCGTCCAGCAGCGGAGCAACGGAACGGAGACCCGAGGAAAGCCAGTACACTAGCACCTTAGAGTGGGGCCTCAGAGGCTCGGACAACACCGCTTCATCGAACGGTTTAGAGAATGATGCAGACTGGCTAAGGAGCGGGTTAGGGAGCGAAACGGACGGGTCAGGGGTAAACATGGACTGGTTAAGAAGCGGGTCAAGGGGCGAATCGGGAAGCGGACAGGACGAGGAAGACGAAACGAACCGGGTGCCGTTGCGGTCGGGGGTGGGAGTCGAGGTCAAAAAGGGGCCGTTCAAGGGGTGCACGGGGCACGTTGTGGATGTGTTGCTAGAAAAGGGCCTGGTGAGGCGACCACTTTGCTTCTGTGATTCTGTGGTATCGAACTTCAGTGTTTGGCAGCAAGCATCAAAGCGGGCTCCTCCACTCTGCGTAAAAAAAAGGGTCTGGTGATCCGGGCTCGCTTTGTGGTTCTGCTTTTGTTACTCTACGATTGTTGAGATTCAATGCCCCGCAGGGAAAGTTAGCCCCTATCTTCTGCTGCGATCTTGCAACCACGACGGGAAAGTAGGGGGCAGTCTTAGTCGGAGTGGATCAGTGGGCTGTTAACATTCGGCAGTTTAGGAATTTGACTGCTTGTGATTCAGATTCACTGTGGCCCTGATTCAAGTAGTTTGGTTCACATTCAATTGCACTGATTCGTAACAGCAATCTTCGAACGACAACCTTCGGAAATGAGCTCGAAGTCGTGAAGTCCTCTGGAAAATCACCAACGATATTACGCAGTAGACCTTGCGCAACACTCTTTCCTCCCTGCCTACGGAAATGTCTAAGCCTACGGTCGTGGTCTTCTTGCTTGTGCAGATTACGGTCCAAATTCCGGATGAAGGAGAGATTCAATTTCAGCCCCGTGACGTGTCACCCGAGGATGGCGGCAGTTGGTCGCTTCCGGAAGGTTTCCAAGTCATCTCCGCCCCGGTTAAGCAACTAGACTTACCGAAACCCAAAAAGCAGCTCCTGTGGCTGGACGAGGGTGAGGAGGAGGCGGAGCCCAAACGGGAGTTGGGCGCCGATGGGCGTCCGAAGGATCCGGACTGGTCGGCGTTTGAGAGGAAGCCACGTGGCGGTGTTGAAAACGATCTCGAGGCGGATCGGGCGGACCCGAGGCAGGCTGAGATTCGGTGGCAGAAGCTATCAATTACGACACCGGAAGGGAAAACGAAGAGGCTGATGGTAAAGTATTTGGGGACGAATGGGGATAACTCGGCGGAGATGTTGTTGACTGAGGATTTGGAAGTGGTTACAGCCGTTTGGCGGCGTTTGACGCCGGTGGGGAAGGCGAAGGGTAGGGTAAAGAAGGAGAAGAAGAAAACGAAGGACGCACAGATGCCCGCTTTTATGTGATGAAAGTGATCCCTGGAAGCATTAAGGCATGGCTGGAATGTTGTACGTTTGATGGGCATGTATTGCGCGCACGTACAACATGTTCAGCTGCATGTTGACCAGGTTGCATGATTACTCACGGTCATGACAATTGAGTGCACTCGACTCTAGCTAGGATTGACACAGCCTTGCGGTGTTTCGATCACTTGAAGCAAATGAACGTACGGTGTTGTGTTCTGATACTCGTCGTCCACCTAGCTGTGGATTGTCGCCAATTTGATCAGCAGAGCAAATGATAGTGAAGAGTCGCCTTGAACTCATGAAGACAAATTGGCAATTGTCCATCATCGCACCGGCCACATCTGCATATAAAGTTTCCTCAGAATATATCACAGTACTGATATACGGATCGATTGAACGAACTCAGCAAAGCCTGGCGGCAGGCTTTGATATTGCACGTGGGATATGCATACGCGCAACAAATTCAACGACGTTGGTTGGGACGATCGATACTCAACATGACTGGCACAGCAATTAAGCGCGTGTAGCGTTTGCAAAGTCCGAACTGGTTATTTGCATGCAGTACGCGTGATCTGTATGGAGCCACAATCCGGTGGTCACTGCCAGCTGAGCCACTGGGTTTATATGAGTTTATGCATACTGGCTTCAAGAAAAAGACTGCCATGCTTCTAGGTACGTACCATAGCTACGGTAGTAAAGATGCTTGCACCCTATACATGCACAGCCTTGAGACTCCGCTTTACCGGCCGGGCATGCCCCCGACTCACTGAGCAGTGCCAATTTGACGCGTCAGCCTCCAGAACCCACTGTAAGTACGTGCTTGATCGCTGTTCGTTTGCCAGGCTGCCAAGCATCGAGCATTGACTGACGGCCCAGCGTTGACATTGTGCAGGCTGTTGATGTTCGAGCGCGTTCGTCAAAGAGGCTGCCGAAAGGTGGTCGCCCATATCGAAAATCTTAGCGGTTTGAAAAGGCTGGAGTAATTTCGACTGGTCCACTCACACGTCCGCTCACACGTTCCCGCCACAATATGCATCGAGACAAAGGAACGAAGATACAGCGACAGAGCCAGGGCGGGATTGTACCCCTAGAAGTTTTCGCGCCAGATCCGATAGAACATTTTGAGGCTGCGCACTCAGACAAGAATCTTCAGAGGCAAATTTCCTTTTGGAGGGTCTGAGCGCATCGGCAAGAAGTGGCAAGCACAGACTAGACGACGGCGCAGCTTAAGTCTGTTGATTGCCGAAGGTTTGCACGAGCATGTGAGATTGCAGAGTGACGAGCGCCTAGCAAGAAGGTCCTCAGTCAATTCTGAATCTTTCGCAGAGCCTCCTGTCCGTTTCAATGGCATCTTCAGAACCTGTGGCTCACTTGCTCTCGCTGCCGAGAGACGCTTTGCATCTCATCTTGCGCAAGGTGGCCTCTCAGGATCCTCTAACTCTCTCCCTAGCTGCATGCGCTTGCAAACTGGTACTTCCGCGGACCTGCAGACGCTTCGAGAAGCTGTCAGTGGTTTTGGGGGGTTCAAGAAGCTGGTGCGACTTGGAGTTGGCCTGAAGAAGAACGCACCTGAAACAGAACCGCAGGACGTTTGCAGCCTTACTCAGAAAGATGTGCAGTTCTTTGTTTTCTCAAGGATTCGGGACAACTGCTTCGCGTGGTCACTGGGTGACTGTGCCTTCGCAGTGGACATTCCGGATGGCCAGCTTTTTCTGAATGCTCAAGTAAAGACTATTGGGCACAGCGCCTGCGGGGAAGCCTCACAGAAAGACAGCATAGAGCAAGAGCAAGTTGCTCCCTTAGAGGTGTATGTTGTGAGAAAGGGCAGTCTGGCGAGCGCCTTCCAGGTCAACATCAAGGCAGCAGAGACGCTCTCAAAGGAACTCGCTGATCATCCAGCTTCGATGATGCTTACGTTGAAAAGCGGGAACCGCTCTTTTGATGATCACCTCAAAAACATCGGTCAGACGGCGTACAGATTCCTAATTCGCGTTGCCGGTGGAGCGTCAGGTCAGGGCGAGGGGGACGAGGATCCGAGCACGCCGTTCAAAATGTTCATTTTGATAGCGCTGTTATCAGACCTATCAAGCCTAGCTTCATGGTGCTTGGAGTCCGGTCGTGGAGCTCTGATTCCTGAACAACATTGGAGTTCAACTTTTCGCAGGAGGGGGGAAGGATAGTCAGAAGGACCTGAAGCTTGTGTCAGGATGGCAGCAGAGCAGAACCTTCGAAATACAAATGCAAAGAAGATAAAATTGTGAGGACGCAATCCTGGTACTTGTTAGTGAAAACTGCATACGTACTGTAGGCAACGCAACCACAGAAACAACTAGAAGTGTACTCAGACTCGGGCTGACATGTAAATCGTTCGAATTACCACCCCCATGTTTTTCCACATCAGGACATTTTGTGTAGGTGGCTAAGGCTTCCGATATCAATTGGCTTGTGTCGTGCGTCTTATAAGCAGACGTGTTTGCGGCTCGTTCCGACCAGAGTCAAAATTAAGGTGTCCCATCCTTCAAGTGGTTGATACTACATATCGAGGAGTTGTGACACATTCGTGAAAATTTGTCCTTCGTTCCACTGATGCATGAGATTTTAAGACAAAGGCTTTCGTTCGAGTCAAAGTAATCGAACTTGCGCAAAAGGTTAGCTTGTACAGCTTGGACTTGCCTGTCGTGAGGGCTTCTGGGAAGCGAGCAAGCCAGCATTCTGTACAAATGATAAGGTCCATCAAGGAACCGTTGCTTCTTTCATTAACTCCCATGAGCGTGCGGATATGTTATGGGCTTTGAAAATGAAGCGAGACCTCCGCTCCTCACGGAGTGCGCACCTTTGTTTCAATATGAAGATGATAGCCGTCCTCACCATGCAGGCACGTACGATCTTTCTAGTAATGGCTCTAAGCACTTGCAGCATCTTATAGAGTCTGCAGATTGTACTCTAAGTTTGATCAACAATATTTAACAGCATTCTACAAGTGGCCGGACAGACTCGGATACACGACGTCTCAAGTTTCAAGCCCATGTTCTTTACGAGTGTGTAACCTTCCTTTGAGTGGGCGCAACTGAATCTGAAAGCGCTACTTTGCAAAAAGAGCGAGCACATGGACCAGGTTCTTGAAAACTTTCGAAGGACCTCTTTACATGGATTTTTGATACACTGGTAATCCTCATGTGATGCTTCATTCTCGCCATCCATACCCCCATCGACCAAAAATGGAGCTCTCGTCTTCGTCAATCGCATTTGACGTTGCACCACACACAGCGCAGCCAAGCGCAGGCTTCTGCAACCGCGGGAGGTAGCGCTTGGTGGCGGCCGCGCACTTTCCGACGTCTCAGGCGTCCGATCCAAACCTTGCGCGGGTCCGTCTATCGCACTAAGCGCGGCCGCGCGCAGCGACGGTCCAGCGGGCTTAAACCCTTGAACCCTGAGTCTGCGACGGTGCAGCGGAGCTGAGGCGCGGCGTCGCGCGTTGCATGGGACGGTGACGTGCGGTGACGTGACAATACAAGGCCTCTGGAGACACAGTGCGTGTTCGGAGGCTACTGTGCGATGGAGCCGCTGACGTAGGTCTGTAAGTTTGCAGCCTGCAGGTCTCAACGATGACGTACTCATGACGCTGTCAGTGGTTAAGTAACACAACACTAAAACCCTGAGGTCAAGTGAGGGCAGTAACCCGCTTTTGACTAACCCTAAGGCGTTCCGCCATGGGCCGCCCGAACCCACCCTAAACCGCCATACCAACCCCACCAAGATCAGTCGGTTATGGTGTTTGACCCTAAACCGCCAACGATCCCCCGGGCACTACTCATATCAGTCGGGTAACATTGCACAACCGTTGCGATCATTCCACGTGTCCAGTTCAAGCTTCCCGCAGTCGTCACCCGTGCGTCATAGATACCTTGGTACGGTACCGCCTCACTAGCAGAGAAGGGTACCGAGGTTCTGGTAGCCACGTGGGAGTTGAGACTTGCAAACTTACAGACTCTACTGGAGCCGCTACACGAAATGGTGCGTCTTGCTGCAAATATTTTCTTCACTCGAATCGGCGCTAATAAGGAAGCATTGTGAGAAAAGATTGAGTAACGGCAACGCAGCTGGAAAGGTCACAGGCAACGCAAGATCAAGGTGTATGCTCTGTCCGAGCCAACCATGGCAAGCAAGCTGAAGCATGATGGAGGACCTTCTCAACGAAGAACTAATGGTCACCGAAGAACCAAGGGGCATCAAAGGCTTGAACAGAAGGTCCCCAATGACTACCCGCCCTTCCTTGCCCTGCACTTGGTCTTCAGAGACTACTTGCAAGAAGCTCCCCCATACTGGATCACAGATTGCCGGCTTGTGAGTACACAGTTCAAGTCAGCCGTCGAAGCTGCACACCCGCCGTACACGTGGCATATAAACAGAGGACGCTTGAACGATGAGCTGCAGACCGTGACCCGCTTCTTTGCTGCTGAGCCTCGGTGGTGGTGGGTAACAAAGGTCAGGCTGTGCGGAGCTGGCGTTAGCATGACACAGGAGAATTGCGAGCTGCTGGTGGCGGCTTTGGGTGCTAGGGCCTGGGAGTCCATCAGCTTGGTGGAGGTAAGACTTCAATTATGTCGTACGCGTACGGTCCAGATTGCTCTGTAAATGAATCCTTTCAGGAGGAGTACTTTCAAGAGGATCGGAAGTCGCTTACATTTTGATTCAAACGAATGCGGAGATTGTAGCTGTCTTCTAGAGGATTGGCAGAACGGAGGAAGATCATTGGATGAGGGCCAATAAGATGCGCTGGCTGATAAATCAGTCGTCTTCAAGTTGTCTGGTCCACTCTTCCGGCTCCTGAAATTGATTCTACCGGGTACCCAATTAACTTTCACTTTGATTTGATGAGGCCTTGTCAGTAGAACAGCTGTCAACGCAATTGCAATGATGCTTTCTCTTGCTTCTTTTTCCCTTCACATGGACGAAAGAAAGCGAAAAGCTTCATTGACGTTCATCCTGAAAATGCTTCTAAAACAAAATCTACGTTGCTCTCCAATCGGACTATAACTCTTGCTCTAGAAGTCAAAATAATTGATTCGGCTTGACTTAAATCGCTCCACAGCTTGAAAACCACAGCCTCTTCCTATGTAGTGTCTGCTTAGTCCCGAACTTAGATGATGCTCCGCTCTTCTTCTACATGCTCGAAGAGCAGCGAAGTTTGATTCAGATTCGCCTCGTACATGCACACGCCACCATGAGACGCTTTGATTTGACAAACAACTTTTCATTCTGATTAGTCAAGACAATCTCGTAGGGAGGTCTGATTCAAGGGTATCATGAGTAGCGACAGAAGATTTCTGATCAGAATCCTCTTTTGAGATCGTTCGTTGACTCCGAAGAGTGACAGTAGCTCCTTTGATTCGTTGCAGGTCAAGCTGACGCATCCGCTCATGCTCTCCGCCATCATCAAACGTCAGCAGAACGCGGCACGCTCCGCCACCTGTCAATCGCCGATTCGCCCGTCTCCTCAGTCGGCCTCCAAAGCGCGCTCTCCGCTCTCGACCACTGCTTGCGGACGCTTGAGCTCTCGCCAGGCATCATTTTCCTTGCTGAGCCCGAAAGTCCGCTGGTCGCCGGAAACTACGCCTGTGCGAGCGTTCGGACACTTGTTTTGGGCGACGCGCTCGAAGCAGCGGGGGCGCGTGAGCTGAGGAAACGCAAAAAGCCAGCACTCCCGGGCAGACTTCCAGTGACCATTTTTCCGTTCGAGCCGCTGCAAACGCTCTGGCTGGTCGGGCTCGGGGGTCTGACGGAAGACGACGTCATCGGCATCTTCCGGCGGACGCCGCTCCTGGAGGAGTTCCGCCTGTTCCCGAGCGGATCGCAGGTGTATAGGCACCATTCCGGCGACATCGAGGTCGCGGCTGGCCACGGCTCGTACGCGTCGCTGACGCCAGCGGCCGTTGCTGGCGTATTCAAGGGGCTGACACGTCATCACTGCCCGCGTCTTGCGCGGCTGTCGATCGGCTGGAAGCACAATCTTATCGGACACCAAGAACTCATTGGCTCCTGGTTGCGGCGCTTCGCGGACGCTCACCCGGAGATGACCGAAGTCAAGCTCTTCCTAACCGAGAGATTTCATCCCGACGACTGGCTATACGCGCTTTCAAACTGGGCGCCGACCCTGGAGAAAGTCACCGGGCACTTCGGCGCGTACTCCGGGGACTTAGACGCGGAACGGCAGCTGGTGCTCCTCGCAAAGGCGCCCCGGTTGACGGAGCTCGAGTGCCTCGGGAGATGCTATCGGGACGAAGTCCAGTGGATGCGAGAACAGCAACTGGGAGCGTTTACGAAACTGAAGCGCGTGGGGCACTCTTCTCTGCGCTGCTTTCGATGGAACAAGTACACGTGGTTGCTGGATGACCTCAGGTACCCGAGCTGGCGTAGAGAGTAGCCTAGGGATTATAGGGGCAATGATGACGCTCCCAAATTTGTTAATCTCTACAACATCTGTAGGGCCTCGTACCTCAGTGATACAAGTGAATCCGTAAGTTGCACGGTAAGCTCTAGCCGAATCTATCGAGCGGTTTCAGCCAATTCATTCAGCTTTTGAACGCAGACTTCTGGTCTGACAGAGTCGCTGATTACAAGTATGTACCTCAGCGTAGGACAAGCCGTGGCTGTGGATGACATTGAACATGTCTCGTTTCCATCACGATGAGTATCCGTCATTTCTTCAAAATCTGCGTCGTCCAACGGTTTGCCTTGCATCATAGTCATGCCCCTTACTAGCTTCGGGCGTCGAAGGTCAAAGCCTCCGCAAAATCAGATCACGACGTCAACATTTACCAGTATTCTGTTCGAAAAAGCAGGCTGAAATTTCCGCTAGAAAGAGTTATATCAGCGAGCTGATTGCACATGCGATCTTGCAGGCCAGGTCTCATATATTTTGGGGATTGAGCGGCTCCTGTCAATTTGATCGATGTGACGCCGGTCAACAGCTAACCTGTCTCGAAGAAACGCGTACGAAACAATACTTCGACCGAACTGGATTTCTCTAGCCGACGAAAATATTATGAAGCAGCTTTCGTGTCTGCCCAAGTTGTCTTTGAAGGTGCTCTGCAGAACGAGCACATGGACGTGCCGAGTTCCTGGGAAAGTTATGAGAGACCTTTTTACATACGTATTGTAGATCCAATAATGATTACTGTCTTAAGTACACAAACCCTGTGGTGGTTGCGATTTTCACGCCAAACACAGCAGTCGCGCCAATGCGGCCAAGCGCACCACCAGCTTCTGAGCATTGTAAGTCTGCGCGCGAGATCGGTGGCGCTTGCCGGCGGATGGCTGCGCGCGCTGGCACGTCGGCTAGCCACGCGCTTCCAGGGTTTAGGCGCGCCCGCGTCTTGGTGCCCGACGGGCAGATTCGTCACGGCGGTACACCTTGCAAGGGTGCCGCGCAGTAGGTACTACTGATCACAAACTTGGCGGATAGAGCGGCGCACAACTATTGAAGATGACGCTTCACAATTTGAGCAAGCACCTCAGGCTTTCATTTCAGCGATGAACAAACGCACCAACGTGGCCATCCTTGCCGCAGTCGTATGCTGACGCTCCTAAGTATGTATCTACTATGTAGAAGAGCCTGAATTACCTCATGTACAAAAGTGGCGTCTGAAGGAAATGGAAGGAAGTGGTGATCAGACCATTTTAACGCTGCCGGAAGACGTGACCTTGATAATTCTGAACAAGCTCGCGTGTCAAGATCCGGTATCCTTGATTCTCGTCACGCTAGCATGCAAGAGCATTAACTCCACGGCAGAGAGAAACCCGTCCCTGTGGGAGCGAGCTCTGTTGGGCGAAGCGATCACTCTAGTTGCTTCTCCAGCAGAGCTGCAACAGCTGATTTCAGTTGTGAAAGAGTTCGGGGGATGTAGGAAGCTTCTGGGACTGAAAGCGCGGCGCTGGAAGAGCCCCTTGGTGGAACAGCTTTCCGCTGTTCCGGTCAACTTGCCAGACGAAACGGGAGAGATCTGCACGCCGGACCTGAGGCTCCTTGTGTTGGCAAGAAATCCAGACGCACAGACTAGGCTTGTGTGGGCGGACGTGAGCAGCAAATTCCACGGTGTCTTTAAGAATCACGCGCAGATTGTGCGGAACCGTTCTGGTGAGGTCATGACAAGGAAGGGAGAGATGGAAATCTACGCACTTCGAGAGGGGAACTTGACTGCTCTTTGGTTCCAAGGCCGCAATTATAGCTCCCGGTTCACACCACACGACAGATCGTTCTCAATAAGGTTAGTACCCGAGCGCTTTCTGCTCAACTCAGAGTATTGGGTTGAATACTCGCGCGGATGTCAATCTTCGTGGCTAACGTCCGAGCTGTGGATCTTCTTCATAGAGACAACACAAGACTGTCTCATGGAAGAGTGTCCGGTCGATCGAGGTTTGCCTAACCATAGGTGCAGATTAGAAGCTCGGGTGATCAGCCAAACTGACAAAATATACTCGCTGTATGAACCATATTATGTACCATCATATCTTAGTGCTTTTCTTGATCGTTTACAATGGTCATGATAAGCAGGACAAGAAAGATATTGGGGTAGAATGGGGTCCAACCTACACTTTGTGGGGGGACGTTTAAGCAATCGATAGTACTGTGGGGGAGCTAAGGGCCTCCAGACTTGTAAGCTGCACGTAAATAGGCTCCGCATCTCTTGGAGTATCATGCGCCAAGCTTTGATAAAAGGAAGCAGTTCTATTTGGAGCGGCGTTCTTTTTGTTTAGCTCAGCGGCGAAGTCGTCGATCTGGTTCGACAATTCTTTGATTACAAAGTACGACCTTGATGTAAGGAGAGCCACTTATCTAACGTAAATGTAACTTACGATGTGTCGTTTGCACGAAAGGAGTCTGTCGATCTGTCAACAGACGCGTATCACTGCAACCCAATTATCCACCATGCATCATGTATACTAAAGATCCTACGAAGTGCCACATAGCTAGTAGATCACCTTATATTGATTAGATGTCTCGTGACCTATTCAAGAGGTCGGGCTCTGAACTGCCGCTTGAATGGGGTCCCAGCAGCGAGCAAAGTGCGCTTGCTATCATAGATGAGAGCCCATATATATGTCCGCGAGGAGGACTTCTACAGGTCTACTTGCCCTTATCTAACCTGTTTCAAAGATTCGGGCCCGTAAGAAGAGGGCCCAACAACCCTGAGTTCTCCAGCCGACGTTCTACTGTCAGACCTCATGTCTGCACAGAACTCGGCTTTGAGGGTGCTCTGCAGAACGAGCACACGCACTTGCTGATCAGTCTTTCTCGAGGATATCTGTACACAGCCTTCACGCACTTACTGCGTTTCGTTGATCACGTTGAGTCCGCCACTAGTTACACACATCCTACACAGACCCTTCATTCGAGAATGGTGGTTGCGAGCTACTTGCCAAAGCGGCAAAGCGCACCATATATTAGCCCTGGCGGCGGCCGCCCATGACGACCGCGCGCCTGGTCCGACGCTTCCGAGTTGATCCTCACATACTAAGCCACCACCGGCGGCCGCGCGCGCGCTAGCACGTCCGGTCCTAAAATATCGACGCGCGCGCCTCAGGGTTTGGCCGCGCCCGCGCTTTGTCAATGTTGCCGACGGGCAGCGGTCGTCGACAGAGAAAGTCATAAACGATCCGGCAAAGAAGCTGAGGTTCTGCAAGTTGAGACAGCAACGGTCTTTATCGCTATCCACTCTTGAACAAACCCCTAAAGTGGCAGGCGCAGTATGCTCCTTCTATTGCATTGACAGAACAGCATGCGCACAGGGTGACGTCAGCTTTAAGAACTCAAAACAAAAGATAAATTGGTGAAGGCACCATGTCGACGCTGCCGGAAGACGTGAGCTTGATCATTTTGAACAAGTTGGCGCCTCACGATCCAATCTCTTTCTTTCTCGCAACGCTGGCCTTCAAAAGCTTTCACTTGGCGGCGGAGCGGAACCCGTCCCTGTGGGAACGAGCATTTCTAGGGGATGCGGTTACATTGACCGCTGACGCAGAAGAGCTGCGGCAGCTGACGTCAGTCGTGACAGAGTTTGGCGGTTATAGGGAGCTTCTGAAAAGCAAAGCGCGGCGCTGGAAGGACCCCTCGGAGCTTCCCGTTGTTCCGTTCAACTTGAAGGGGTCGGCAACGGTTTGCGTGCAGCACCTGCGGCTTCTTGTGTTGGTGCGCGATCCAAACCCACACATGAGCCTAGTGTGGGCGGACGTGAGGAGCACCTTTGAAGACGTCTCAAGGAACCACGCTCGAACTGTGCGGAATCGTTCTGGTCAAATGTTGGCAACGACGGGAGAATTTGAAATGTGGGCATTGCAGAAGGGAAGTTCTGCGAGCGCTCATTATTTCCAAGGCCGAAACACTCACAGCGTCCCGTTTAGAGAGCATCATAGATTGCTTCCATACGTGACAATATCTGGACGCATCTTGCTGAGAGCCGACTTCTGTGTAGAGTACGAATCTAGTTCAACTTGTAATCAGCTAAGATCTGAACTCGTGTTGATAATATGGTTCGTAGAAGAATCACTGTTTTGTCCCATTAAAGAGTGCAGACGCGATCGCACAGGCCTGTGCCTCCTCCTTGGTGGAAGATAGAGCCACAGATTGCCACTTTCAACTGGGTGTTTTATCTTTGATCCACCATATTTCTCCGTGATTGTCAATAATGATTCTCGTGAAAGAAGTTTTATCCGCGGTTCATACTTGGGTTGAACAAGGGACCAACTTACACTGTTGAACATGCCCTCAAGAGACTTGTGCTAGTTTGGTGAGGCCGTTCACTCGCCGTTCAAATGGCATGTGGAAGTCTGGCATGCGCCTGAAGCGCACTGCGGCAGCCCTGGTAATTTAAATCGTCTCTTGATTAGACGCTGACGACCCTGTCACGGTCGTCTGGTCACGTGGCTCCCCTTGCCAATCATGATTGTGGCTTCTTCATGCATGTTCTCGGAAGCATTTGTCGAATGTTACGATTTGCAAGAGCTTCTGTTGGAGTTGTGCATGATTAAAGACTCGGTGAAGCAAATCAATACAATATTTGTATTCAAGTTCTTTGAAGCGCTCTCCTTGCGTACCTATAGGTGCAATGATGATCATTAAAGTATGCGAAATTAATGAGCAGTTATTCATCGACCATCCTAGACCAACAACTTTGGCTATAGCAACATGTTCAGACACGACCATAATATCTTGAGCTAGCGCCGGTCCGCGCCCGCGGCGCCAGCTTAAGCTAGCCCGGCTCGGCGGCCACATGGCATGCGGGGACGGTCCCGCTAATTAAGCTCTAGGCGCCTCATACATATTGTACCTTCCTTCTTTCAATCAGACCTTGCAATAAAAATGACCAGTTCATGTATATCATCATTGCAGATTGGACTCCCGATCAACCTCTGCATGAGCCTTCGACTCGAGCATGCGCATCTCTGAGCCTTCGAAGCTTGAGCCGCGCAGGGCTCCAAACTGCAACCATTTGCAAGTACGTCACTGGTTGCGAACGGTGGCCACACACATATGACCCCGGCGGCCACCAATGCGGTAGTTTCGTCTGCTTCGGAAATGCACGCCACTACCACCGCCAGACGGCCAGCTTTGGGGCGGCTGAAACATTGAATGCTCTGCCAAGCTGCACACACCCTCCCCTGTGGCGCAATACCGCCTTTGCATGGAGGCTCGGCCGCCAAAGGTCGCATCATGGCACACATGCTGGTACATACAACAATCGGTGCACGCGCAAGGAAGTCCAACCGTGTTGTGGTTTAACGGAAATCATATGCACAGACCCAGGATTTAGAGTAGTCAATCTTTATCTCCCTAACGGCTTCCAGCGTCCAATTGGTCTTCTTCAGTAAGATCTACTACTGCAGCTTCCGAAAAGCAGCGGACCCAAAACTCGCTGGCGGTTTCCTAGAAAGCAAGTTGGGCCAGGGACGGTTGCTCCCGTTCCTCCTCGTACTCGACCTGTAGGGATAAGAGTGATTGCTTTGGAGCAAGCTACAGGAGCAAGCTAAATCTCAAGATTCCCGGCATATCACTTGTAAGAGGAAGAAGGCTGATCGCCACGTGGCCGCCACTGAATGGCAGTGGGCGGCTCATATGTTTCAGGAACTAGCTGCGAGAGAGATTCTTTGGGCAGAACGCAGACCGAAAGGGTACTCGACTGGAGCGTCGAAGTGGAAGGAGAGCAATTTTGGTGACAACACAGCCTGGGTTCTTGTTGCAAGCAACGCTCTTCTGCCACGGTTTGATCACACCCTGGACCGGACAGGCAGAACTGACTTGAAACTAAGCAAAAAACTTTCGCGAAGATGCAAAGACATCAGGGGCCGAACCAAACTCTAGACACGCGGTGAAGTAGCAATGGGTAGGCGGAATAACCAACCACAATGAGGACGTGCTGACGGAGTCGAGGAATTCAGCAGGCAGGAATAGGCTATAGCTGCACCCGTATTGTTTGCACCAGACGACTTCCCTCAACGCTCTCCTCAAATCCTGACCCTTTCACATTGTTTAGAGGCAAGGGGGCTTCGCTTACCATCTCTTCCCTTCTGAGCTCCAGTTGCCAGCCTTTTGCTGTCGAGGAATGGGCAGACCAAAGCAGAACGTGTAAATTGTCAACGTGAAAACATCGAGTGTGATCTTACCTCCACGTGGGCCTTTCGCCGCTTCGGCTTCTTCTGCGGCTCGTCTTCTAAGTCGTCAGCCCCCAACGCCCCACGCTTGCTGGCTGACGTCAAGCCCCGCTTCGCTGACGTCATGTTCAAACGACGCCTCTCCGCCTCCTCCTCTTCTTCATACTCCTCTGCGCAGATGTAACAATTTTTGTTAATACGCTTTAGTCTGGCGGAAGGGAACAATTGTAAGCGGATGCCGAAGCCAGAAGCTGTCAGGAAAGGCAAAATGCAAAGCACAATTGACCGGAACCAAACCGTCATGTGCTGTGAAGATCAGCGCAACAAGCGCACAGAAAGCAGACTTGAGGGGCTCAATAAAGCTGCAACCCTTCTGAGAACCAAAGAGTGAAAAGTGCGGTGGTGACATTTACCGGGCACTCTGGTCACTTCGTAAACAGTTGATCAGAGCTTGATGCACATCCAACGAACCGGTCACTTCGTAAACACGACTGATCGGAGCTTGATGCGCACCCAACACACTTTCGAGGACTGGGCAAGATTGATCCTGCCGGACCGCCCAACAAAGCGCCCAGGATAACGGCGGAGAAGTTATCACAAGATGTGACTGGCCAAGCCAGGATGACGTCAGCGGTGAACTCACCTTCGTCCTCATACTCTTCCTCTGCTAGTTGGTCAAAGTCTTCTAGGTCGTCTTCGTCCTCTCCTTCGTAGTCCTCCACGTACTCTACTTCCGGGTCCTGAAGGCGGAAAAGGGTCTCGTTTTGAACTCGTAAACTCGTGCTTCATTCTGAGTGCAATTCCAGCATAACCAAACTAACGGACAAACTGAAGTACGCGGAGAAAAGCCGTCTGAAGTGGTTGCCTTTCCGAGACCTAACCTCACGACTTGTCTAGCGAGGACTGGGCCAGTTCTGACCGGGTAAATCGGCAAGAAGACCGCACCGCTACTTTCAGCACCGCTACTTTCAGCACCGCTACTTTCAGCACCGCTACTTTCCGCCAGTCGCCAGTATCCGAAAAACTCCCCGCCAAAAAGAAACTTTGACACGAATTGACAGTTGTGCCGACTGTTGTACAAAGAACCACTTCCGCTGATGCCACTGATCTTGCCCGAACAGCACAAACTTTTCATGTATATTTGCGCACTGCCCCCGCAAGAGACAAATAAGTCCGGAATCAAGCTGGCGTCCGACCGCTCATTGCCTCGCCCTCGTCTCTCAAGCCTCGTCTGGCAGCGAAAGGGGCAACGCGTGACGTCATCAACCTTCCAGCAGCACCAATATGACGTCAGCGAACGGCCAGGTATCGATCTGCCTTACCTCCTCGTCTTCCTCTTCGGCCTCGTCTTGCAGCTCCCCCTTCTCCGCCTCCATGTCGAGAACCCGTTCGTAGTTGCGCCACGGCACGTTCGGAATGTCGCCGTAAGTGCCCGCTTTCAACCGCTCCAAGAGTTCCTTCTCGATAGCCTGCAAAGGAGAAACTATAATCAGTGGCGCTGCTTTTGAACCGGCCAGCAGCACTCCTTTTGGATAGAAAGTCGCCATTGTGCTCTTGGGCGCTGAATTTTCCAACATCAACTGCTTCGACAAATCGTTTCTGAAACCACTGGTCAATAGCGCTAGCTTTTATGCATGAGACGTTGACTTGAGATTGTGAACGCTCAGGTTTCAACGTCAGCCTCTCCAGAAGCTCCTTTCGATAGCTCCCAGGGAGAAACTTTTGTTAGCGGCGCTGCTTTTCGGCTTAAGAGGTTGTGAACGCCAGGGTTTCCATACTCAGGCTCAACGGGTCTGAATTCCTGGAGGTCAATAAACATGACCGGAGGGAAATCGCACGATCCATCACAATCGGAGATGATGTTCCACTACTCCTTCGCACAACAAAGATGCAAAGAAATCAAGGGCAGAAAACCTACCGAAAACATTCTGCGACCGTTAAGAGCGACGTCAGCCAGAAAAATGAAAAGCTCTACAGACACCCCGTCATGAACCAAGTAAGAACCAAGAATAACGAACGAGCCAGATGCTTGAGCGGGCTGATCGATTTGGGAGTACATACATCGTTGGATCAGCTTCTGGACGTTCTCAAGGTCCTTGCACGCTGCTGACCGTTCAAAGGCGCAAAATAAACTCAAATGAAGTTGGAAAATCAAACGAGCCACGCACAAAACCTCACCCTATCCAGCTTGGCCGCTACCTCCGCTTTCGCTTCCCTTGCTTTCTCCCGCTTCTCCAGCTTCGTCGGCACAGTGACCAGTTTCGGCCTGGACAGAACGCCAACACATGAGAGCTGTCTCGCAAGTGTAGTACAGGATTGATCGGCTTCTCTGGCCAATCTCAAGGTTTGGCAGTCTCTCAAGCACAGGTCATCAAGCTTCAAAAGTTAGTGGAGATTCCATCTGACAGACAACCAAGGCCGGAAGTACAGCCTGGGGCTTAGTTTCGACAGATGCAAAGCGACTCTATCTGCACTTTAATGATTTGGAAGTGATCGACTAAAACCCATTCCCAACCTGGCACCGGAAAAACTGCATGCTGTGATTGTAAGTCTACAATGAGAATCAGCCGCAGTCTATAAACAAAGAGGTCAGGGATAGAGGGTGGCTCACTGTATCCTCAACGCCAATCTTCGCCGCCGTATGAGGTACTGCGTCATCTTGGTCAGCCGTTGCTTGTTCTTGTGAACGAGGAACTTGGGCCAATGAACCTGCAAGAGTCGGACACACTAGGAGATCAAGAACTGCTCTTATTGTCAAACAACGCACCCCTTTGACAAGATTCCCGTGAACAATTGACCAGATTACAGGAAAAAATGGGCAAAGATCCAGTAAACAGTTTCGTTGGACGGTCAGTGTTTGCAGCTTGCTTAAGGAGACAAGTATCTATCGTAGTTCACCGGTCAACGAATCTGATACTCCTGACGATTGAAAAGGGAGAAAGTCCGTCTCCTTTCTCACAATTGAAAACTTGCTTATCTTTTCTGATTGCCATAAGCTCACCATGTGCTTGTCGATCAGCTCCAGCGCTTTTGCATAGTTCTTGGGCAGCTTTATCCGCTCCCACAGATCCCGGGGTGCATGCGCCCTTTCTATGGACTTCATATATAGGTACAGGACACCTGCAAATGCTAACCAAGTATGGTCAGGGCTCAAGGACACAAGAAAGCGAAACGAACCCACTCCAGGGCAGGCCCAGAGTGAGCCCAAAACATGCCCCTTCTGCTGAGAATCTGGACTGATGGACGGATACAAGTTCAAAAGCCTGAGAATCCAAGGACCGACATTTTTTCGGGTTTGTGATTGACATAAGGGGCCTTGGCGTCTGCCCGGCACTCAAAAGACTTTTGAAGACGATCCCCTTGAGAGGGGGAAAGCTGGAAACCAAAGCCCCGGTCAACGATGTCAGAATTTCACAGCCCCAATATTCCTACAAAAGACCTTGCATGATCTTATGCCCAATCTTCTTCTGGTGGCAGTTATTATGATACAAAGCCTCAGTTTACGAAGGGCTACTAATTGAAACAACACCCTAAAACACCCATGCCACTGACGCAGCTTCTTCAAGCAAGGCTAATTCCGAACATATCTTGTGTGCCACCACTTGTACATGCTTGTACTGTAAGTTCCTCCCTAGTGATGTAAACGAAAGCTTACCGTCAATCTCTCTGATTGTGGCGTACCGAGAGTTGGCCAGCGGGCAAGAGCTTCGATTGCACAAGCCCGTGACATTGTACGGGTTTCGGCAGAAAGTTTGCTGTTGTGTTCTGCAAAAGAGACACACCACCACTTGGGTATAGATTCCGTTTATTCAAAATAACAATTAGAATTTAATGTCTAGAGTTATTTAGGATTCAGAGACCTTGTACTTGGGCCTCATCGCAGGAGTTCAAAGAAAGCAACCGCATATAGCTAGGGCAAACACCTGCCTACTTGCCACCACCATTAACCAATGCCCAAGAGTACCGTGTCCTCTATTCGTCTCTGAAGGACTCCACTGAGATACTCCCCCACAAACATCCTGCCAGTAATGTTCCAGGGCGGAGATAAGTGGAACAAGTAGGACCACCGGTAGCATCACCAATGCCCTGGTAAGAAGCGCAAACTTACTTTGCTTTATAGCTGCAGTGCCCTTGATTGATGACCTGCCAGATGATCTCATCGTGCTGCATGGTGGCCGGACGTACGGAAACTTCCTCTTATATAAGACTGGGGGGCTTCAGAGGAATGGAGGGATGCCCGGACGCAAGCAGAAGCACTTAAAGAATGCTCCACGAAACCAACCTGCCTGTACTCGCACACCGTACCTGTTTTTAAGGGACGAGAATCTTCAGACCTCTAGAAACAAATTGAACAGACTTGCGTGACCAACTTGAGTTTGCAACCGTCCAGCAAACTGTTTGCAGCTCCCTGAAAGACTCGGAAAGTGGTGCAGCTTATAAATTTTCGAGAGACGCCTCCGAGTCCAACTTCAACTTCGATCAAGTGCAGCGCGGCCTCCCCACTTTTCAATTGGTCATCGTTACCGCTCACTAAGTTCGAGAGCCTGTCTAAAATGAATCTACATGGTAATGGTTCAGTGTGCCAAGATGACTTGTGCCATTTCATGACCAGAACTGGAAGAAGTCTGAGAATTGGCAGAAGTCAAAAAGGTAAAAAGCGCCACAAGCGCCACCACCACGTTCAGGGCCGCCTTGAGCATCGTTGCAAATCCTTCTGATTCAGCGGGCTTTACAGGTTTTGCTGACGCCCCAACTCCCCCCCCTCCCCCCAGTGGGCGCCCATCTGTGGAGCTGCCAAGATGGTGCAGTACAACTTCAAAAAGATTACGGTGGTCCCGACGAGCAAGGACTTTGTCGACATCGTCCTCTCCCGCACGCAGCGTCAGACTCCCACCGTTGTTCACAAGCACTATGCGATATCGCGTATCCGCCAGTTCTATATGCGCAAGGTCAAGTTCACGCAGCAGACCTATCACGAGAAGCTGACGCAGATCATCGAGGATTTTCCTCGTCTAGACGACATCCATCCTTTCTATGGGGACCTGCTGAACGTGCTGTATGATAAGGACCATTATAAGCTGGCGCTGGGGCAGATCAACACGGCCCGCAACCTGATTGATAGAATTGCAAAGGACTATGTCCGGCTGCTCAAGTTCGGCGACACCTTATACAGATGCAAGCAGCTGAAGCGGGCGGCCATGGGCCGGATGTGCACGCTTATGAAGAAGCAGGGTCCGAGTCTGGCGTACTTAGAACAGGTCCGCCAGCATATGTCGAGGCTGCCATCGATAGACCCCCAGACAAGGACAATTCTAGTGTGCGGGTACCCGAATGTGGGCAAGAGCAGCTTCGTGAACAAGATCACGCGGGCGGACGTCGACGTGCAGCCGTACGCGTTCACGACGAAGAGCCTCTTCGTGGGGCACACCGACTACAAATACCTTCGGTGGCAGGTGGGTCGACTTTCGTTTGTAGCGCTAAGGATGACTTTCTTCTCCTGGCTGCTGGAGGTTGCCGTTACGTTCAAGGGGCACAATAGTGGTGATAGAATGCAAATTGTGGCAATGCTGTTAGGATTGCCCTGCTTGCACACCGTTACCATGTCAAAGTTCTGCTTTGCTGGCCCAAAGCTGCCTTCCACCCAATCTCTCCAGCATTTGTCTACTGTGTTTCTTCCACAGTCCTGTATTTTGAATGCGGACTTTTTGGCCACTTTCTCATGCCTTGAGACAATGACGCTTTCCAAACCCTAAAGCCTGGAACCCTAATCCTTCATCTTCCCTTGCGAAGGTGCGATCAGAGCATTTACCACCCGTTCCACCAGCATTAGTCCATCTGTTGTCGACCGGCACTCCCATCAATTGCTTTTTGTGGAATCAACAATCTGTTCACGCCCTTGACCTTGAGCCACCGCGTTGTCCAAACCCTAAAATCTGGAAGCTTATTGTAGTTCCCCTGCTTACCCCCCGCTGCAAGGTCATCGACACGCCTGGAATTCCTGACCACCACTTCGAGTCCTCAAGACTACGAGGCTTTGCAACCTTCAAATCCAATTTTCTAACTTGTCTTTTGCCCTCTGACAGGTCATCGACACGCCCGGAATCCTCGATCACCCCCTCGAGGACCGTAACACGATTGAAATGCTGGCCATCACTGCGCTCGCACATCTGCGCGCCGCCGTTCTCTTCGTGGTCGATCTCTCCGGGAGCTGTGGGTACTCGATCGCGCAGCAGGCGGCGCTCTTCCACAGCATCAAGCCCCTCTTTGCGAACAAGCCCCTCATGATCGCGTGCAACAAGACGGACCTGCAGGTGGGTTACTAGGGTTCAAACTAGGGTTATGTGGTTAGGGTTTGAAGCGAACGCGAGGCAGGATATTGGGTGGTGCTTGGAATCGTAGCTTGCGCAGTGGTGGCCTCAATCCTTATAGGTTGGATTTCATGTTGGAGGAGTCTAAGCTTATGGGCGTTATTTTATAAATGTTCATGTCAGTGAGAAGTATGGGATGGCAAAACACAGGGATGGAGTTTGCAAGGTCCAAATGCAACGCAGTACCTCTGTCCTTTGTGTGTGACAGTGGTCACTCTTTTCAGAGCGCTGGCTTTTAAAGGTGGGCGTCTGCACCTGCGATTGCACCTAGAAAAATAAACTGTGGTCACACCTGATGCACGTTCTAAGGTCGTTGGTCCCCTCTTTTGCCTGCAGCCCCTCGAGACGCTTCCCGAAGAAGAGAAGGCCCTGATTGAGGAGATGCGAAGGGAGGCGGCGGGGCGAGACATGGGGGAGGGTGCTGGAGACGAGGGGGCGCTTATGGTGATGAGCACGATGAATGATGAAGGGGTGGTGGACGTGAAGAATACGGCGTGCGAGCGACTGCTGCAGGTGGGAGAGTTGTTTACAGGGGCATTTGTTTCTTCTACAGCGGACTTTTGTTTAGTGCATATGGAAGCTATTTAAGCGTCAATATGATGTTCGAGTGTGCCGGTTGTTCTACTGCGATGAATGATGAGGGGGTGGTGGAGATGGGAAATGACGTGCGCAAACTGTTTACCAGCAGGTTAATTAGTGAATTTATAGGTACTTTGTGGGTAGCTCATTTGGACTTGGTTTTGGGGGATTCTGGAAGTTTCGATGTTGAGCCCATAATTGGCTTTTCAAGTGTTTACCGATTTTCAAAAAGATGTCGCTTGATTAAGGGGTGATGCTTCAAGGATGCGGGGTGCGTCGACTGCTGCAGCTGGGGGGGGTGCAAATGGAGCCTAGGTCAAACGTGATACCGTACTCCAGGTCTTCTATATTTTTGGTCATGTGGACCACTGCAGTGTTGTGCATCTATAACTTCTGTGTTGGCTACCATCGCTTTCATCCGTGACGTTAGCAGAACGTGGTCGGGGAACTTGTGCCCCCGGGAAACAGCCCTTCCTCTTGAAATATCACAGTCAATTGCAATGTTGCGCTTTTCTCGACCATAAGTTTGATATACCGTGTTCCACCCCTGTCTAAGCGGCTCCTTTTGAATCCGCAGCAACGGGTGGAGGTGAAGATGAAGGGCAAGAAGATGAACGACGTCGTGAACCGGATATACGTGGCGGAGCCAAGGGCACGGGATCACAAGGAGCGGCCGCCGGTTATTCCACAGGTGCGTCTGCCACCCGCTCTCTGGATTGTGGGGGTCATTTTGTGGTGCAAAACGGCCCTGTGCAAGAGGTTTTCCATCTTTTCGTATGTCTACTTTTCTTTCTATTAACATGGCTGTCTGCCAGCGCTTTTTGTCGAAAGCAAAGGTGTCAGCTTGCTTCTTGGATTGGTTTGCACGTTGAGCACCAGGTTGTTGCCTGTCAGCACCTCTTGAGTTACTGGTATGAGATTGCAACGTGGGCTTTCCGAAGCTGGTCGTAATCAATCTGAACCTGGCCTTGGTTGTCTTACCCCCCGCGGCCGCGAAGCATCGAAAGTGTCAGCAACCTGCTCTGCGTTTTGTTACACCTCTGGCGCTACTCTAACAGTACTGTTACACTTCTGGCGCTGCTCCAACAATACTGTGAGGTCACAGAAATCTCCTCACGTTGATTAGTGTCAGATCCGCTATCCCTTATGGCACGGGCGGCTCTGGAGGCTCGCGCGAAGGACCCCGTAAAGTCCGCACACCAGTTCTCGTCAGTACGGATGCAAATTTGGGTCGTTATGGTCATTCCTCTCGTCCCAGTCAGAACGACAGAGGCCCGCAAGTTTTGCTCCAGAAGTGGGGCCACCAGGACCAATTTGCAACGTTACAGACGTTCTCCTCCGATACTTTGGCAGGCGGTTCTGGAGGCTCCCGCCACCGAGCCCGCAAAGTCCGCGCGTAAGCTGGAGCTGTCATGGTTGTGGTTTTGAGTTTTCTGGACAGTCCTCTCCTTGCAATATACTGACGAGAGCCTGCAAGTGTCGCTTGAGACTTGGGGCCCTCAGGCGCAATCTTGCGATGATGCTGACGTCATCCCTCATTATTTGGCAGGCGGTTCTGGAGGCCCGCGCAAACGAGCCCGCAAAACCGGCGCGCAAGCTGGAGCGCGAGCTGCAAGAAGAGCAGGGCGGCGCGGGCGTGTACAGCGCGAAGCTGCAGAAGCACTACATGCTCGCGGACGAGGCCTGGAAGGATGACGTCATGCCGGAGATCATGGACGGGAAGAACATCGCGGACTTCATCGACCCTGACATCATGGCGCGCCTGGAGGAACTAGAGCGGCTAGAAGAAGGGGAGGACGACGGGGGCGAGGAGGAGATGGAGGAGGAGGATCTTACGGCGGAGGAGAAGGAGGCGCTGCAGGTGAGCTTTGCCATTTTGTCTTGGTTGTGGATTCGGTCTGGTTTTCAAACTGTTCATCCGGGTCGTGATTTTGTTTCCTACCTGCAGCTTCCGATCCTTACGTGGACTTTGATCTGAACATGAATGTCGATTGAATTGCTCGGAAAAATATGAACGTTGAATCAACTTCCATGTTGAACTTGAGTATCGCATTACATCAGTGGTGTTTGAAAGGACGCAATGTCCTGTCGCTTTGGTTGAGGCGCATTGCAGTCAAAGTTTTTGAGTAAGCTTTTGAGTAAGATATTCAAGCCCTCGCGTCACGAAACCTTTTTTTGCTTAGAAGTCGTCTTGATCAGGAATGACGTCTCCCTTCACAGCTGCTCATTCAGGTCCCCTTGCTGATCTGAACTTGTGAAACCCTCGCAGGCAATCCGGCGACGGAAACGGCAACTGCTGGACCGGCACAGGGCGCGGAAAACGACGGCAGACAACCGGTCGATGGTCCCGCGCAAGTTCGACCAAAACAGGGAGCTCACGACGGGCAGGTACGCAATCCGAACGCATATTTTTCCCTGTGACTTCAGCGTGGCTGCCTGTATATTTTGTGTACATCAAACTTCGCCTTCAGTACCCTATTATCGGCGACCGAGACGCGGCGTGGATCGCGTTTCCTCTGATTTGCTGAATTTGAACGAGGCCTCATTTGAATGAGGCCTCTCAAATGAGGCCTCGACTGAAACAAGTCATTGATCGTTTTCTGGCATTGCAAAGGACGTTCTGAAAGGTGCTCGGTTCAGCACGCTAACAAAAGCGTCTACAACTGCATCTGGACAAGCAAGTTGTTTCTGCGTGAGGCATATGGTGGATGCAAGTCCTCACATCTTGATTCCTGCTGACGTCATTCTTATTTGTGCAGGATGGAGGAGCACCTGTCCCACATGGGCATCGACCCGTCGGCCGCCGTGGCGCGCGTGCGCGAGCGCTCCGTCTCGCGGCAAGGCCGCAAGCGTGGGCGCTCCGAGGGACCGTCGATGGACGAGGACGGCATGCAGATCGACGGCTCCCAAGGGCCCGCGCACAAGAAGATGCGCGACCGCTCGCGGAGTCGGTCGGCGGTCATTGCGGTTCCGGGTGACGGGTTCAAGGATTCCGCGCAGAAGATCAAGATCCAGAAGATCAAGCGGAAGGGCGAGATGGCGCGGAACAGGATGGCGAAGCAGGGTGAGGCGGACAGAGTGATTCCCAACAAGATGCCGAAGCACTTGTTCTCTGGGAAGAGAGGCATAGGCAAGACGGACCGGCGGTAGGGCAGTGAGATCAGGGTCTAGTAGGGGAGGGGGGGGAGGATTTGTAGCTTGGGTTTCTAGGAAATGAAGAAAAGTGAAGTTAGGACCATGTTTTAGCGGTGAGTCCCGAGCAGGTATGGCCAAAGACCGAAGGCGCAGCATGAAATGGTCCTGTGAAACTTCGAGGGCCGAGCGGGCGGGGCGAAGGCTTTGCACGTGGTCGCACTGCATATTGCTGATGTGATGATTCAGACTGCGGCCAATTCTTAGTCGTCATGTCATGCCAGATAGCACAAGTCACTTCTGGAATGTACAAGGCTGAGCCGGTTTAAGTTTGGAATAGTATACGGCCGGTCAGGTCATGCGGATTCTTGCAGACATGCAATGATGGATATCCATGTGCATCATGCAATTGGACGGTTCAACTTGGCTCAACCGGGAAGGTCTATAGAAGCCATGGCAAAGTCATGACCTTTGCAACCCACAGGCGGGGACAGTGCTATAAGTCGCTGCATACACTTCAAGTTGCTTTCTCGATCTGCTCGACTGAGTGCTGCATGCAGGCCGGGCATGTCATTGTTTCACGTATGTGTATCTTGTAAAACTTTCCGCTAAAGTCCGCAGCTTGCATGCATGGCCGACTCTATAGCGCGCGCAAAGGCGGCTAGGCCCGGGCGGTATGTGTTCCCAGGCAACACGATATCAATCCGGCCAATAGTGAACTCAGCTGCAGTTTGATACTTGATTCGGCACAATGTCGCATTGCATATGTATGTTAAGCACGGCCTTGGCAATTTTGGCTTGTAAATGAATTCGGTTGAGTCAGACTGGCATCAATTGGCCAGCCTCTTTGTCCGTAGCTTGCAAGCTTGACCGTACTAATCCTACGAGCAATCATGGGCTGTCCCCTGGGCGTCCTCTCCCAACCGCTAGGGCCGGAGCCCTCTTAGGTAGTATAGTGGAATTACTTTAAGGTCCAAAATCTCGATGCTTTCTGTCCACGCCGTTGCTTGAGCATTCTGAACACAAGAAGCAGGAGGGTTGAAATTAAGCTCATGCAATTAATTTCGACAAGTATATTGTGAAAGAAACCAGTTCATACGGTGAGTTGAGCTACTTCTGGCCGGCGTTGAAAAACGCCTAGGCCTATCTAGAAACGGCTAGTGACTATCCTCGTCGGCTTCTAAAGAGCACGGGAGGATATGGAAACTAGCCGTTGAGGTAGAAACCGTTTTTAGACTCCGTTAAATTATGAATGAGTTATCAATCTGGGTCACGTCGGAGCGGCCTGGGTTTCGCTTTCGGCGCGTCAAATTCCGCGCGCACTGAACTCGATGCAGCCGGTCCGGCCAAATTTCGGTCGCGCGATCGAAATCTGGGTCCGCGGAATCCCGGTCGCGCAGTTCCGACAGACCGGCACCACTGAGTCACTGAGCCGGTCCGAGCAGAGTTTTTAAGATGAACTAGACGTTCTGCTCTTGCCGGGCTGTCAGGAACAGTCCATTCCAGGATCGGGCAGAAACATGACGAGAGCAAGAAAATACCAACACTTGCAGAAAGTACGTGGACTGGTGCTGTTCGAGGGCACCTACTGCTCCCGGCCGTCTTCATGCAGCTTGGACCCGTTGGAACTTGGTATAGGGCCCGCATACTAAGGGTTTGCGCTCGCTTTGCGCCAGGTGCGGCTTGAGCGGAATAGGTATATCCTTCTTGCTTCCAGACTTGAGGTTCTACACGCCTTCACTTTGAGTCTGTGCCTCAGTGGGCTTTTGTGATTGCATGCTGGAGTTCTGCACAGAAGACATTCGAAAATTACAGTGATCGGTTCCGGTCAAGTTCCGGTCCCATTTGTGTTCTTTCCGTTGAAGGAGCAGAGGGCAAGGATAAATAAAAGGAGTTTCATGCCAATATCATGTATATGATGACAGTGAGTAAGTGAGTGTCTCCCGGATTGAGAGACCAGCGTCTGTCGGACTCTGTCGCGCGGCGCTCAGTGCTTGCTAACTTGACTTGGGGTTTGGCGCCGCAGCGCCGCATGGTCCTCAAGAATCGAGATGACGTTGTCATCTTGCACCGACTCAGGGCCTCAGGACTCAGCCCTGGCCCCTGGACCTTACGGTACCGTACCGGCATGGGAATTCACCACCTTTTGGTGTGAAAACTTAATTTCGTTCATCCTGAGGTTTCACCGGGCGCCTACGTTATTACTTATTAGTATATATTTTCCATTTCTCACAAGCGGTTTTTTGCTTTTTCCACACTGTAATGATCCCAGAATGACATGTTTTCCAAAAAATCGTGGTTTCGCCTTTCACAGTCGGGGAGATCTGTACTTTTATTTTTTTCACACTGACCCCAAAATAATTAATGAAAGTTGAGTTCCCATGGTAAATGACTGTCGACATGTTACATGTCGACAGGCTACATCATACATCATATCATTCCGGCAACGCTAGCTTGCACTAAGAGCAGCTTGCACTAAGATAAGCAC